GACCCGCTTTAGTGACTGTGTTGGAGTCCGTCGATAATGGATTGATGGTAGATGGTTGAACGGATCGAGGACTCTTCGATTTTTGTTTCTGAAATTAGAAATCGAAAAACAACAGAAATATGTTAGAATCCAAGTGAATCGGCTATAGACAAAAAGATAGATAAGACAATAAAGAATCGAAAAGAACCTTCAATTTTTTCGAAGATGAAGAAATGGTGACCGAGTGCTTGCGTTTCCTGACGAAGGCCGATGGGTCTGATTCATCCGAGGACTCCCAGTCCTTCTCCTTCTCGGCGACAACAGTCTTAGAGGATTTTGAAACTGTCGAAAAAGAAAACAGTTAGCTTATAGTATAAAGAAAAAAAAAACATTCCTAGAAAAGGCAGCAAAATCTCACCAAAAGGTGATGGAGTCAAAATCGTGACTCGATCGATATGTACAAGCCAGGGAGGAAGAAGAATTAGGTAAGGGAAATAAGACAATTTCCATACAGAAATGTCCTTGTTTTTAGGTTTGGGACGAAGAGTTTCTCTTAGGGATCTCAGCTCTCGAACCCATTTGGGATGAGTTAAAGGTTTGGCAATCCCAAAAGATGTTGTAGGAAAAGTGGGGAGGTGATCGGGACAATACATTTCAAACGAGGTTTTGCCTCGAGGATTGATTATTTTGTGGTTGGATCGATTAGTGTATGTCTTATTGGCTAAGGAAATAACAGCGTCATAAAAGGTCGATTCTAATTTCAAAGGGTTGTAACAAACTCGATAAAAATTCTTGAATCGAGATATTTGAAGATAGTGGGAGTGTGTACCTTTCTTCGCCTTTGATTTGTCCTGCAACACAAGAGAAGGATGAGCAATCAATTTTCGTTGGACTTCGTCAAAATCAGAATGATTACTCGAGAACCAATCGGTCCACCATTGAGAGAAACCCAGAGTTGATAAATAATTAGATTCAAAAACATAAGGATAAAAATGCATCGGGGGTTTTGGTAGCAGTTTGGTGAGCTCCCGTCCAATTGTCGATTCACTTAACTTGGACCTTGGGGAGGTATCGAGGGGGAAAAAAGGTAAGGCTTGACTCAAACCAAACTGCCTCGAGAAAAGTTGGGGGTAATAGGTGACAAGCTTAAAATCCTTGGAGTGAAAACCCGATACTAATACATCCTGAGTCAAATAATTACTCCACACGTCAACCAGCTCTGATTGTAACCCAGGAGTTAAGGCAGAGAATTTGGACTTAAACCAAGATGGTCCTCGAAGTTGGTCGCTTATTCGTCCAAGATTCACAGTAAAAGGAGCCAAAGTCGAATCAAAATGAAACCTAGTTAACAAAAATCTAAGGTATTTACGGTAAGTCGCCTCGTCGGGTTTGTAATAAGAATGTCGAGAAGATAATCGAGCACCCTCTAAATCTACACTTGTAGGGATGTTGGAGGTTGGGGGGAGGATACTCTCAAAAATCGAATTTAGCCATAATTGGATAAACCAAATGGGGCCCGAAAAATTTCCCGAAGCTCTGGGTGTATTCAAAATCTCGACGGCCTCATCGAAAGCAGTATATACATGGGCTAACAAAAATTTGGCTAAACAAATTCTAGGCTAGCCGGTGTGAAGGAGATAGACAAGGTTATACAGGTGGGATGAAATTTGGATGGATCGGGGGCAGAAGACGTGAGTACACAACCAGTATACCAAGAAGGCAACGTGCTCCTCATCAGAAACAGAAACTGTTGGATCATCGATAAAATGCTTCTCGAGAAAATGACCATAGGCTTTCGATTCCCAATCGATTTTGGACCTTAGGGAATTATCCGAAGGAAAAGCACCCTTATAATACTTCTCCCCTGTGGGCTTCAAACCAGTAATTGCAGCGACTTCGAAAAGGGTGGGCGAAAGGGGACCACAAGGGAGTTCTAACGCATGCAGGTCCTTATTCCACAAATGTACAGCAGACAAAAACATAGTCATATCCAAAAATGACAAATCGCTTCGAGACAAATGCAAAAAATCGAAAATCTCCACATCTCTCCAATGGTTCCCAAACTTAGTCTTAACCCTATCAAACCACCTAATGTACAAGGGTTTTTTGGAGGGGGGCCCGTTCGGTATACTTTAGATACAACATTCAGAAAGCCAGTTCGAACCTCAGATTGATGAGTAAGAGCCTGGCTCTTTGAAGAAAGATTGAAGGAAGAAAAAGATCCGCCACAAGAACGGATAGGACCCCCAAAAGCAAAATTTACATCATCAGCAATGTAAGGGATGAGTACCTGCGTCTCAGCGACCTTCTGAGAAGCTTCCTCCATTAGAGGAACCGGAGCAAATTTCTTGTTGTTGATCTCCAGCAGGTTAGAGGCCAACGAGGGAAGTGGTGGAGCTGAAAAATCAGAAGATTTGGAAGAGGTTGCCATTTCAGGAGAGTAGAGGAAAACAGAGGATAGAAGGTAAGGGTGCAAGGTTGAGGACAAAGGCGCAAGGTAGAAGATGAAGTTGCAAAGGAGGAGTAAAAGTTCGCGTAAAAAACCAGGGTAAAAGACCAACAAAGTGTTTAAAGGAAAACTACCTAGGGTACTAGAAACGACGGAGGCGAAGGGCAATTAATGTGGCGTGTACAGTAAGGCAGCAGACTGATGTGATGGTGATATAAAGCAGAAAGAAACCTAAAACCCTAAAAAAACTCCAGAAACCCTAAAACCTAAGTTATTGTGGGCCTCCAACACGCGAAGGCGGGAACCATATTGAAAGAATATAAACAGAAACTATTTTTATTCTTCCAAGGGGGCATTTTGTTAGTGGGAAATCGATAAAGGGATCGAGAAACAAATGGGAGCAAAAATCGAGAACCATTTTGATTGAGTTAAAGACTGATAAATCGAAAGATAGTTGGAAAATACGTTCGACGACCATGTGACAATATAAGCGAGAATTAGAATCGAGAATCGAAGGAAGAATGTTTAATATCCGTTAGTGAATGAAATCGAGAAATCAGAATTATGTAATGTTAAGGTTAAGAGAAATCAAAGGCAAGTCAAACGTTCTCGAGATTCTGAAATCAACATCGGGGAAAGGTTAACCCATGTATCGAAATCCCGGCTAAGTTATAAAGAAAGGAACAGTTGACGTGCACATCGAACATGGTAAGCGGTGGCAAAGGTCGAAGGTCAAGGAAGCAGTTACCTCATGTATGGGAACGTGAAGGCAGTTTCTAAACCGTAGAGTTAAGAGTAAAACTACAAAAGACGTGCACGCAGAACGTGGTAGCAGTTTTCATTAACTGCTCCTAAGAGATTACTTGAAAGATGCTCTATAAATAGAGCGAAGGATGAAGGGAAAAAGGGAGCGTGGAAATTGGCAGAGAGAGCAGGAATACTAGTGAGAAGTCTACCGGAGAACGACGAACATCATGAAGTTTCTGGCGATCTGGATTTCCATGTTCATTGATTTCCTTTACCGTTTTCTTTATTTTCCCTGGTAATTTACTTTGATGCAGTTTATGTTTAGCAACTTTAAGTTTCTGCATTTTCGATTCCTTGTCATTTCCCTTCAAAGAAAGTTAAATTTCTGGTTTAGGTTCCTTGTCATTTATATTAACACAATTTCGATTTCTTTCTATTTATATTTCTGTAATTTCGATTTCTTGCTGTTTACATTTTTGTAATTTCGATTTCTTGCTATTTACATTTCTGTAATTTCGATTTCCTGCTATTTACATTTTTGTAATTTCGATTTCCTGCTATTTACATTTCTGTAATTTCGATTTCCTGTTATTTATATTTCCGCAATCTTGATGCTTTTACACTTAATGCAAATTTGAAGTTTCCGCATTTTACATTCCTTCGCAGTTTTACTTTCAGTACTGCTTTTCGATTTATCACTTTACTGTTTTCCTCATTTCGAGTACTTCAAATACAAAATACCAAAAAAAAAATAGCGCTTTCGATTGTCATTAGGTTACATTAAGATTTGTGGTACTTTTCGATTCTCATACATATTCCGATTGAAAATCATTTGCTAGCCTAAGTAAAAAGAATCTACGTGGTTGGGATTTGGTTAGAATAAAATTCTCTGGAGATCGAAATCAATCAAAATTCTACCAAAAACACTATCATAATTATATAATGTTAATACATAGACATACTTATCATAATTATATAAAAAATTTCATAAAATATTCTCCCAGAAAAGAAACAAAACCTCTCTTTTATAAAATAATACAGTATTAGGTATTTTCTATTACTCCGTAAAACTATTTCCTTTAGTAATATATTACCAGTGTGAATAATAATAATAATAATAATAATAATAATAATAATAATAATAATAATAATAATAATAATAATAATAATAATAATAATAATAATAATAATAATATTATTGTAATAAAATAAAGTCATATGATTCTCTTTTATTTCGTAATCATAGTTTTAGTTTTTTATTTTAATGGATAAAATTTTAAAACACATAATTTGTAATTATGTCTATATTTTATGCATTTATATTATTTAAATCCAACCAAGTCTTAAACTTAAATATTAGAAATTATTTAATCCATTAAAATAAGAATAAATTTAAACAAAACCAATAGGGATATTTTTAAATTTATGATCTCATATAAAAAGATAAGATAATTGGAGAAAACAAAATTGTAATTTACTCTAAAAAAAAAAAAAAAAAAAAAACTAGCTCTCGAGTTGACTTACAGATGTGGCCTTTTGTTGGTCCATAATGCCGAAGATATCCCCATGCTTGCGTGTCCACTGCTCAACCGCTTCCCTTCCTTCCTTGTGGATTCTGCTGTTTTGAATGCCCTTCTTCGTTTCAACTTTTAATTTTCTTCATACCAACACAAATAACACGCCAATCTCATTTCATAATTTTCAACTTCAAACTTTGATTCAGTAATTTCAGTTCCTAACGCACTCGCAGGGTCATTACTTTGCTTGGTAAACCCAACAATTAATCAGAGACAGAAAAATGCTACGATAACGTATTTGTCTGTGGATGTCGGTTTTGAATTCTCTCTCACACGTTAACAACATGATCAGATCACTGCCCAAGCTCTCACTCCTCTTTTTCTCAGCTAGGAAACCGCATTATCTTGCAACTGCTCAGCGTTTCATATCCCAAGGGAGAACACCAACTTCAAGAGGTACGTGATCAACTGACACCAATTGACCAAACCACCTTATCATTTTTTGCGTTGTTGGATTAACAATGACCGGTTTCCGGATCTGTTTCTTGTCGCTTTTGGGTATCGTTTATCACTGGCAAAACTCAACCTTTTTTTTATCGGTTCCGACTTCCAACCGCGCGTCTGTTTTTTTACTGTTGGTGTTATTTATGTAGTGAAAATATTTTTTTATTATATCCTGGTTTGAATTGAATATTACTAATAACTAGTCGAACACACAAGATGACAGTAACGGTTTAGATTTGATCGGCATTTGCTGGCTAGACATCACTTAGTGGCTTGCATTGGACGATTGTTTTGGGGGTCTCTTGTATCATGAGGAGTATTGTTATGATATATTGTCGTATTACATCTCATAATATCTTACTGATTCATGAACACAGGTATATTTGCATGAGTCTAATCTTCATTTAGTATTGACATTAGTAAAAAATAATCTCAGGAGTAACTTTTTTAGTAGTTATTACAAAATTAGCAAATTTATATCATACATGGCAGTTTGTGATTATATGACAGGGTAAACCTTTACTGTATGTGTATGCTTATGTGTATATATAGCCTATTTTAGCTTAGAGAATCATTAACTTCATTGTGGCACAATTCACTCTGCATTTCTGTAATCAAAAGTGGTTGTCTGCTTTTGATATAGTCGACTGTTATAGCATGTTTGGAAATATATTTTCGAGCAAAAAAAAATCATTTCACAGTGCAAAAGCTATCTCTAGTAGCTTCACTAGACGTCAAAAAATTGCATCACAGACCAAACATGCTGTTAGTGAGTTTTTTTAGAAGTTACAACATTCCCTTGGAAGTTTTAAAGAGGGAGAATTACTTTAACTTCGTTTTCTCGATTTTCCCAAAGTTATCCTATGCAAAAGTCATCGTTGCTCGGTTTCAACATTCGCTGAGGTAACTGAAACATAATAGGGAAATTGAACTAATTTACTCATTCAGAAAATCACACTTTTTTTACCCTTAGCTGTTCTAAATCTTGTAAGATTCAGTTTGAATTTGAAATGAGTTATTCATGCATCGACATATGGTATCTTAAAATTTTGGTTGTATATTTTTCCCAATCAGTTGGGAAAAGGTTGGCTGTCAGGAATGCTAACCCGTGTTTACACTAGATACTGTTCCCCTGTTATAGGAATGCTTAATTAAAATAATCTGATGTTACTTTTCTCACTTTTCCTTAACAGTCAAGATTGGAGTGGCAACCACTGTTTCTATACGATCCAAATCGACCTCAACTATTTCATCTGCAATTGTGTCAGAAACTGCCGCTGGAGATCAAGTTCAAAAGATTAACCTGCTAACATCAACTGATGATAATTATGGTGGTGTTACTGTGGAACTGGATCAGCCTATGGATTCTACAACATTTATCTCAACCCTTAGAGCTTCAGTTTCCCATTGGAAGCAGCTGGTAGGTAATCTCTCTACTTAGTTGCTCAATGTAATAAATATATCATATTTGGTTTCATTCATTGATGGAAATGTACTGGTGAAATTTTTAATCAAGTGTTAGGCTTTTTCATTCCTATGCATGGTTACTTCCAATTACATAAATCAATAGTTCAAACGACACTCATTGGTAAGACATTTCCAATTGTTATAAGAACTTCTACAGAAACAATGGTATCTCCAATTCTAACCTCTTTTTGGGGTAAAGTATATTTTTTTCTCACCATTCCCGTAGTTTGAGACAAATGGATGTATTAGGGACTCATATTAAGTAATACAAGCACATAAACCTGATATATAGATAACTTCCATGTATATGTACAGCCCATCATTTATTTTTTCTTTTTTTCTTTTTTATTTTCTTGTGTGGCAATAAGTAGCGTATGTTGATCATCTGTGCATCAGATAGACACGTGAGTCTTATTTTTAAGTGACTTTAGTTTCTTCGTTTGTCATTAACCTGTCATTCAGGTATATAGATCATTATCTATCATCTAATTAAGTTTGGTTAGTTATTCAATAAAATGTTAGCTGACGCATAATCCTAGTCCAGCAATTAAGATATGGAGTGATTTTCATTTTGAATTTACATTAAGCTTTTTTATTTAATGATCGTTGTAACTCAGTTTCCTGTCTATTTTATTTTGCAAAACATGCTAATAAGACTTATATTGCACAAAACTTGAGCATTTTTTATCTATACTACATGTACTGAATCCACAATCCATCGCTATATTTGAGTTAATGAATCAGCATTGTCATGCAGGGCAAGAAAGGTGTGTGGATAAAATTACCTATTCATTTAGCCAGTCTAGTTGAAGATTTAGTTAAGGTGATTGATATTCTTTTTTACCTTAATCATAATGGTTGTGCTTGATAAGTTTAGTTGATGAAAATTGGATTCCATTAATGTGTCAGGTATCAATTCTATTTATTAACTATTATCTCTGGTACACTTCCATGCAGGAGGGATTTTGGTATCATCATGCAGAACCGAATTATTTAATGCTTGTATATTGGATTCCTGACAGTCCAAGTACTATTCCTCCAAATGCCACACACAGGGTGGGGGTTGGTTCATTTGTCATGAATGAAAAAAAAGAGGTTTTCCCCCACCATAAATCACATTATACTGCAACTTCATTATCCGTCTTATACTTAATTGGAAGGAATCTCTTTTTGTTTAAGGGCTATATGATAGAGGCCCAGTGATAGATCAACTAAGTCATGGACCCAAAGTGTGGTATGTGTATTCTAGAAAGGGTAAAAAAGGAATGTGACTCTTCTTGCTCGAGGAAAGAGAAATTATTAGAAGAGTAAGTTGTTAGGAGGGATGGGAGAAATTCGGTTATTTAGGGAGGAGTGTCATGTAGTGTGAGGGGGGAGAAAAGGAGTAAGAAATCAGTGGGTAGGGAATATTTGTCTCTATTGGAGCGTAGCTCTGTGGGTAGCAGTGAAGGACCATTCTTCTTGTTGCATTTATATTCTTTTCTATTACCTTTCTTTCCCGCATGTTTTCTTACAATTAATTCCTAAATCTGTTATACTGAGTACTTGATCATCTTAGTTTGTAACAAATTGGTCCGACCTGCCGGATTCGACTTGTGGGGAGGGAGAATTAGCGAGGTGTTGTTAGAGTGAATGCCACCAAAGAAGAAAGGAGTGAAGAACGACGAGATGGAGGCAAGACTTACTAATATGGAGTACGAGGTTGGCGCACTTAAGGAGGCGATGGTGGAGTCATAGTGGAAGATGGAGGAACAATTTGAGAAGCTCTTTCAGACTTTGGTAAAGGGCGGTCAGCAATCGCCAACGACTAACAATGCAGAGGGAGGGGGTGACTGTAGCAACCACCACCACCGAGAGGAACATGAATATGGGGAGAAGAAGAAATCAACACCACTAGGGTCACGAAGGCATTTGAAGGGAGAGGTGTTAGAGGAATTCCGACAATGCGTGAAGAAGGTCGAGTTACCCATGTTCGACGGTGAGGATCCGGCGGGGTGGATCTCACGCGCCGAAATCTATTTCCGGGTGCAAGACACTCATCCAGAGGCTCAGGTGAGCTTGGCTCAGCTCTGTATGGAGGGGTCTAGTATCCATTTCTTCAATTCATTGCTTGATGAGGATGAGGAGATGACTTGGGAACAATTGAAACGTGAGTTAATGGATAGATATGGTGGGCTAGGGGAGGGTGACGTGTTCGAACAGTTGGCGTCGCTGCAACAAGTGAGAAGCGTGGACGAGTATATTGAACAATTTGAGAGGTTGACTGCTCAGGTGAAGAGACTATCAAATGACCAGTACTTCGAGTACTTTGTACATAGTTTGAAAGAGAATATTCGAGGAAGGATCCGTTCATTGAGGGCCCTAGGACCCATATCCAGATCCAAAATGTTGAACGTGGCAAGAGCGGTGGAAGCAGAGTTTCAAGGGATCCGCCCAGGTTGGGGAACAGTGACTCGCAAGGAGGTAGAAAATGGGCCATTTCACCCAAACAGGCCCAATTTAGGTTTGCAAAACAAAGGAGTTAGAGGAACATGTTGGGCCCAGTTTCGTGGAGGAAGAGAGCAATTTGAAGAAGGAAATCTAATGAGAGGAGGGGGATTTGGGCCAGCTCAACAATTTAGGTTCAACAAGAATGTAGAAGGGGAAAGTGGATCTAGCCCTCGTAGTAGTGGATCATGGGGTGACAGAGGAGTCAGACACTTATCTTTTCAAGAGATCACAGAACGAAGAAAAAAGGGACTATGTTTCAAGTGTGGAGGTAAATTCCACCCAATGCATCAATGCCCAGATCGCCAGTTGCGCGTGATGGTGTTAGACGAAGAGGAAGAGATAGATGATGAACCTACCCAAAGCACCTTTGAAGTTAAGGAAGAGGAGAGGGTTAATGGAGAGTGTAGTGTGATTGATTTGGGAAGTTTGGAAACTAAGGAAGGCCAGCAGTTCCAAACTCTGAAACTAAGAGCAACCATTCAAGGAGTCTCAGTGTTAGTATTGGTGGACAGCGGAGCCACGCACAATTTCATATCGAGGAAATTAACTCAAGCAATGGGGTGGAAGACTGTTGACACAAGGGGGATGAGTATAAAGCTGGGAGATGGGAGTAAAACGGTAGCTCGGGGAAAATGCGAGGCTGTGGAAATGGAGTTCGGAGGGCTCAAAGTAACTATCTATGCCCACTTGTTCGAGTTAGGGGATATCGATGTGGTTTTGGGCATGTCTTGGCTGTCTACCATGGGAGAGATGATTATTGATTGGGGTAAGAAAACCATGAGGGTAGTGAGAAACGGAGTGTGGGTGAATTTGAAGGGAGAGGACCAAGAATCCCAAACTGCGTTTCAGAGCCTGTTTATTGGGAGGCGTACATGGATGGGGGGCATGTTGATGTCCACGGATCTAAAGTTTGCTTCTGGAAATGTCATTAAAGATGCTAATTCGGTTCTGACTCCTCAACAGAGAAAAAAATTGGAGTTAATGTTGTTGAAATATGAAGTGGTATTCCAAGAACCACAAGGAGTGCCCCCAACAAGGAGTAAAGAGCATATGATAGTGTTACGTGAAGGAGAGAGACCAGTTAACGTGCGTCCGTATAGATATCCCCATCATCACAAGGATGAGATAGAAAAACAGGTCAGAGAAATGTTGAGCATGGGTATCATCAGACCAAGTCAGAGCCCGTTTTCGAGCCCAGTAATTCTGGTTAAAAAGAAAGACGCTACTTGGAGGATGTGTGTTGACTACCGTGCTTTGAATAAGGCTACGGTCCCTAATAAATTTCCAATACCGGTGATAGATGAGCTGCTTGATGAGGTTCATGGGGCAGTTTTTTTCTCTAAGTTGGACTTAAAATCCGAGTACCACCAAGTACGTATGAGGGAGGAAGATGTGCATAAAACGGCGTTTAGGACCCATGAAGGCCATTACGAGTACTTAGTTATGCCCTTCGGGCTTATGAACGCTCCTTCCACGTTCCAATCCTTGATGAATGATGTTTTCTGTGACATGTTGAGAAAAGGGGTGCTGGTGTTTTTCGATGATATTTTGATCTATAGTGGGAGTTGGGAAGAGCATCTGAAACAGCCTAACCATGTACTACAGAGGCTGCAACAACATCAATTGGTGGTCAACAAGAAGAAGTGTCAGTTTGCTCAGAGATCCATTGAGTATTTGGGCCATGTGGTCTCAGCCCAGGGTGTGGCGATGGATCCAGGGAAGGTGGAGAGTGTCAAACAGTGGCCCAGCCCAAAAAATGTCAAAGGAGTGCGTGGTTTTTTGGGGCTAACGGGTTATTATCAGAAATTCATACGGGACTATGGAAAGATTGCAAAGCCTTTAACTGAGTTGACTAAGAAAGATGGGTTTCAATGGAATTCTCACGCTCAAGATGCATTTAATCAGCTAAAGACAAAAATGACGGAAGCCCCAGTGTTAGCCTTACCCGATTTTACTAAACAGTTTTTGATCGAATGTGATGCTTCCGGGGGAGGGGTTGGGGCAATACTCACACAAATGGGCAGACCAGTAGCTTATTTTAGTAAGGCCATAAGTGAACGCAATCTGGCCAAATCAGCGTATGAAAAAGAATTAATGGCAATAGTGCTGGCAATCCAACATTGGAGACCTTATTTGTTGGGTAGAAAGTTCACGGTGAGCACTAATCAGAAAAGCCTCAAGCAACTCATGCAACAAAGGATTTCCACCATGGACCAACAGAATTGGATGGCCAAGTTATTGGGCTATCAATTCGACATTGTATATAAACCGGGTGTTAGTAACAGAGGTGCAGATGCTCTATCTCGAATGCATGAGGTCAAAGGGTCTTTCTGCTCTTTGAGATACTATCCGTTTTGGGAGGACAGTCAAAAAATCATTGAGGAGGTGCATCAAGATCCCAAGTTAAAGGCTATCATTGAAGGGTTGGTTCAAAATAACACGCTTAAATCAGGTTTCTCTTATATCAGGGGAGTCTTGTATTATAAAGGAAGGTTGGTGATATCACCAAATTCTGAATGGATACCTAAATTGTTGCAAGAATACCATACCACTGTAGAAGGGGGACATTCAGGTTTTTATCGGACATATCGACGCCTTGTAGCCAACCTGTATTGGATTGGGATGACGAAGAAGATTCAAGAATATGTCCAATAGTGTGATATTTGCCAGAGATAGAAATATTTGGCTACTTCCCCTGGTGGCCTTTTGCAGCCTCTACCAATTCCCCAACAAATTTGGGATGAGGTTTCCATGGACTTTATAACAGGTCTCCCTAAAGTTCGAGGGTATGAGGCAATATTAGTGGTGGTAGATAGGTTGTCAAAATATGGACACTTCATTCTTCTTAAACATCCCTATACAGCAAAGACGGTGGCTGAGATTTTTGTCAGGGAGGTGATTCGGTTACATGGCATTCCCAAGGCCATAGTCAGTGATAAAGATCCTATTTTTGTTAGTAATTTTTGGAAAGAGATTTTCAAGTTGCAGGGCACTCAGCTGAAAATGAGTACCGCATACCATCCCCAAACGGATGGATAAACGGAGGTAGTCAACCATTGCCTAGAAACCTATCTACGTTGTTTCATCGCTGACCAACCAAAAACGTGGGTAAATTGGGTGCATTGGGCAGAATACTGGTACAACACCACATTCCATCAATCAACCGGAACTACCCCGTTTGAGGCGGTGTATGGCTGTAAACCACCAGCATTGGTGAAATTTCTACAAGGGGAAACGTTGGTGGAAGCTGTGCAACAAGAATTGGTGGACAGAGACGAAGCTTTACGACAACTAAAACATCATTTGACTCGTGCTCAAGATCGTATGAATCGTCAGGAGCGCAATTTTGCTATTGGGGAGTGGGTTTTTCTGAAGCTGCACCCCCATAGGCAGGGCTCTGTAGCCACTAGAATCAGTCCCAAGTTAGCGGCAAGGTATTTTGGTCCTTTTGAAGTGGCTGGGCGTGTAGGTGCAGTGGCTTACAAGCTCAAATTACCATCGACTTCGAAGATTCATCTTGTGTTCCATGTCTCATTACTCAAGAAGGCAGTGGGTAATTACGCAGTGGAGGCTAAATTACCTGAGAACATTGAAGGAGAGGAGAGCATACCGGTGGAACCCGAGGTTATTTTAGCGGCCAGGCGCGTGCGAAAGGGAGGGGAGGATGTTGATCAACTGTTGGTTCAGTGGAAGGGTCAAGGGACAGAGAGTGCCACGTGGGAAGACAAACTAGCCATCCAAAGTCAATTTCCAGAAATCAGTCTTAAGGACAAGACTGTTGTTTTAGGAGGGGGCAATGATAGAGGCCCAGTGATAGATCAACTAAGTCATGGACCCAAAGTGTGGTATGTGTATTCTAGAAAGGGTAAAAAAGGAATGTGACTCTTCTTGCTCGAGGAAAGAGAAATTATTAGAAGAGTAAGTTGTTAGGAGGGATGGGAGAAATTCGGTTATTTAGGGAGGAGTGTCATGTAGTGTGAGGGGGGAGAAAAGGAGTAAGAAATCAGTGGGTAGGGAATATTTGTCTCTATTGGAGCGTAGCTCTGTGGGTAGCAGTGAAGGACCATTCTTCCTGTTGCATTTATATTCTTTTCTATTACCTTTCTTTCCCGCATGTTTTCTTACAATTAATTCCTAAATCTGTTATACTGAGTACTTGATCATCTTAGTTTGTAACACTATATCTTTGATAAATATTGTTATGCCTTTCCTGTATATTGATAAAGTGATAATGTGTTATATGAGGATGAAAAAGAACTTAATGTGTATTTGTTGCATTCTGTTCTAGAGAAGACCTAGTACATTTAGTTCATTTTGTTGTTTATTTTAGTTTGTCTCTTCGTTTTCTGATCCACTGCTCCTGCTTGTTTTTATTCTTGTCACTTCTGTGTGGTAGGTCCATTATCAGAAATTTCATGGGAAAAATAATAAAATGTCTCTCTTACTGATGTAAAGTCTGAAGAATTTAATTCTATTGGTGATTAACATTTCAGTTTCTACTTCTTTAATGATCTTAGGTCCTAGTTGTTCAAGAAAATAATGGACTATTTCAAGGAAGTGGAGTCTGGAAATTTCCTACTGGAGTTGTTGATCAGGTAGATGTGTTAGATATATTTCTGACTATGCTATAAAAATCTATACTGTGTGCATATGATCTACTCGTTCAACCTATGCAGGGAGAAGATATTTGTGTAGCAGCAGTAAGAGAGGTCAAAGAAGAAACAGGGGTAATTAATCTCATTGCTGTACCAATTAATGTGGCTAGTCCTGAAATTGATTATTTTCTCAAGTGTCAGTAAGGTCTACGGTTTGTTCCAAACCTAATTGTTCTGGGTTCTCTCAATTTTCAGGTTGACTCAGAATTTATGGAAGTATTAGCATTCAGGTAGCATATTTATATGAATACATTGTATCAATTTGAATATGGGAAGTTTCTATGGTTGATATTGGAGACTTCAAATAGGAGATAGAATGTTCAGATCTCATTGATAATGGATATAGGGAACAGGGACTAACGAAAGAAGGGGCAACATCGTATAATCCAAAATCCTACAGGGGATGAGGAAATTCTTGATCATATTCATACACCAGCTGCAGGATCCATTTTTAGGTCTTGCGGTGTCTACCAAGAGTAGTTTGCCTATGTTAACATATACATTTTAGCTATATCATTGGTTCTGAAAGAATATGTGCTTAAGATATTTATATACTGCAAATATTGTTGTTACCCGTCCATAAATTAGTGACTTCTTTCGGTTGAAGTTTCTTTGATTCTTGTGAGTATACAAAATAGATGAGATGACTGAGAATTCTTTTCGTCTTTCATCTGAATATCTGATCAACAGACAAAGTCATAATTCATTCTTTGAGAAGTCAGACTTATTCTTCGTGTGCATGTTGCGGCCTCTTTCTTTTAACATTCAAACACAGACATTAGAAATTCTGGATGCACAGGTATGCGATTTCTAGTTGAGGCCAAGGAGTAATTACAGTTTGTTTTCCATGTCGTTTTAGATGTTCAATGCTTACTGAGAGTGAAAAACTATGGGACATGCTAACTAGTAAGGATTCTAGTTAAAGAATTAAAAGGAACAGTTTTTTATTGGGTTAAGTAAGAATGTGTTCTCTACAATTTTTTAATACACTCTCGTGATTTCCAACAAAAACTTCTTTTTAATTCTTTAACCAGTGTCACTGTGCATTGGTTAGCAAGACCCCAAGACTAAAAAATAATAGAATTTTTCTTGTTCTTTCTATTGTTGAGCTATCATTTAAAATCTGCCTTGCCCATTAAAACTTTCTTTTAATCTGTTATTGTTGTTATTATATTATAGGTTTAAATACATTGTTAGTCATTCAAATTCGGAGTAATCAGCTAGCTTTTGATCTCCTAAATTTAGAACTGATATTTTTGGCTCTTGTAATTTGAAAAAAACTTGCTTGATTTAGTTCTTCTGTACCAAACGCCAATGTTACTAACTAATTGAAAGTGGGTCACATGACTACCTATTTTCATTTTGCATACTTATCATGGAACATCCTATCATATGTTTATTTTCCTTTCAAAGTATTCATTTAGGTGAGATTTAGGATAAAGACATTTAAGCTAAGGTACTAGAAACTAACTTTTTCCAAACTATAAAGACTAAAAACATATTTAAATCTAAATTATACTTTGAGAAAGGTCTCAAGGTAATGTATAATCATTGTAGACAAAGGAAGATATCAATTTTTCGTATGATTATTTTTCTGCAGTGGATGCCATTTGAGGAATATGTAGCTCAGCCATTCGTCCAAAGGAGTGAGCTTTTGAAGTACATAAATGATACATGCTTGGCAAAGATGGGTGGACAATATTCTGGATTTTGTCCTGTATCTACGTCATCCAACTTTTCTGATCAAAAGAATTATTTGTACTTGAATGCTGGGACCTTAAAGAGCTCCAATTCTTCTTGAGCATCATCACATATTACAACAACTGGAAAGAAAGGACATTCAATTACTTTATTTGATTCATTCTGTGAACGTGCTGGTATTCATCAGGGAAGCCAAATTTGAAAGCAATTTCATTGATTATCAAATTTACTTTCTGTCAATAATGGTTAGAAAAAAGTTAAGACACTCAACAAACAATCATTTTTGACGCAATACATGATTATCTAATGCATTTTATCTTTTATTTTCTTCTTTAATAAATACTTACAAAAAGATTTATCGAAATTGGTCTATATTTAGTAACAAACAAAACTGTGACTAAGACTGTGCTTATGATGGTCATTGTGCTGCAAACTATTTGGAGTCCTGCAGACATCATAAGAAAACTTGCATGTTAGTGCTGATTGTCATGCGCGCACATTTGGCGCAGGGCACTAGATTATTTGATTAGTTTCACTGTGCTGAAAAGCAATGGTGAGTGGAGTGGACCAATCACTTCCCAGTTTTGCTCCTCTTTTCAACACTACCTCTTTATTCAAGTATTGTATTTTTTTTTCTTGTTGAGTTAGACCAAGAATATTCTTTAAATAAGATTTTGTCATCATTGAGGGCATTTGAGTGGAATTGTAAACAATGTAATGTATACTCTGTTAAAAAATCACACCGTGCATACACGTGAAACTAGATGGATACACACACAAGTATTAGAGGTATCATTGCTTGGTGGTTGTATGGATAAATAATCTTGTATTTTATTTTGAATGAAGATATTTAATTACTTCCCAGCATATAATTTTTTTTCACTGTTTTTTAAGAGGAAAAAGAAAAAAAAAACTTCATTCAAGCTCTCTTAAAAAAAGTTGGACCAAATATATCTTCTCAAAAACTCTTAAATTAAAAACAACTTAGTTAATGATCAAAAGTTCAAAAGCTAAAGCTTTTAAAAAAGCTAATTGAATGAGTTTTTACTTTTAAAGAAAAGTTTTAGGAAAGGGTTTGCTAACTACAATTATCCATTATCCATTGATGTCATATTCCATCTTTGTTGAGTTATACAGATTAATTTATAGCCATCTAGACAAGTTGAGTTTGAATAATTTTGGTTGAAAACATCAATTGAAGATTTATTTGTCCATTATCAAAAGTCATACAATAAAAGAACAAACTGTGAAGAGGGTTCCAAAATGACCTAAATCCCCTTATTCCACTCCTTTATCTTATGCCAACCCCACTTAATTTTATGACATAATTGATAAAAAGAAGTTTATGATGTAGTAGGGCAAGGTGTCAAAATGTAAGAGATTAGATTTATTTATGTTTTTACCAAGTATTATTTTGTCCACTTTCCCTACTAATGTTTGAAGAGCAAAAGGAAAACAGTTTATGATTTGAGGTAGACCCAACATGGAGCGTAAATAGCAAAATAGAAGAAATATTCTTCACCCCTTCAGCTATATTGTAATAATTTTCAAAACAAATCGTCCACCATCTTGACTAAGTAACAAAATCAATCATCCATTAAGATTAGACTCCATTCAAGACTTTTGTGTGGCCCTGTCTTCACATGTAGTTGAAGCGTCAATGGACAACCCCTAATTCTTCAGAAGGAAGAAATCTGATTCACAACCCCTCGTGCCCTTGTAACATTAAATTCTTCAATTTTCACCTTGTTACTATTATTTTTCATGAGAATCTAACCTAAGACAACGACCAGTGGCCAAAACGTCCTTTCGGGGACCATATATTCATTCCCTTGACCAAAAGCCAATTAATTCACCAATATGATGTGAAATGGTTCGTGTTTAAACAATTGAATTGTGATGCTAACATCTTTGTCTCTTTAGATATGTATGTGTACATGCACTGGACATGAAAAATAAGCGTAAAGTAGAGGCAAGAAAAAATGGATACTTGATACCACTTGATTGAAGCAAATGCCAATTAATCCGAATAACACGGAACTGATACACTTTGCTTCCTTCACTGAAATCTGTAAAGCATTTCGATAATTTAGCTTGTAAAATGACCTTATCCAAAGATCTTCATGCAAAACATTCTCACCCAAATCAAATAAGAGCTAGAAAATATAAGCCATTCATAACAGTGAGAATCAATTAACCATGTATATTTTCATTTTAATTAGTAGTCTTAAACCTCTTCATTTAATTAACTTCTTGAAGAACAAAGCAAGTGTTCTTAAGGTATTATTACCTATGGACCAATTCATAAATTTTAATTAATTAATTAATGTTTTGCAAAGTAATTGAATGAACACCTCAATATGATTCCAATAACCAGCATCAATAATTTTATTAAGCCACTCATCAATAAATTTAGCTTTTACATGTAAGAACGACCATAGTAATATAAATAAAGAAACATTCAATATGACCAACTAATTATTTATAAATACTTTTTAAAATAGTTATAAATAAATATCACATGTTTATTATCATAGCCTAATATCTTTATTTTATTATATAATTTTTACTTTTTTATTTATATAACTTAAAATACTAGTTCGTTTCTTTCAGAACAATTTTCTATATTGTACATTAAAATACAAAGATTAAAAGATATTTCATCCATTAAACCCTAAATCCTTAATTCTAAATCATGATTAGCGGGGAGATGAATATACTATCATGCCTTGCTGTTAGAACAAAATGCCAACTCACGCACCACAATGGTGGTTTTTTTAGGAGATTAATAGTAACCATAGTAATTGTTGAGGGTAAATTACCTCTATTTCATTAGTCGTTAATTTAGGTTTGAACACTTAGTAATCCCTTTCTCTTTAGGTTTATATTATTATTATTATTATTTCATTAATTTTGTTAACTTTTAGGTTAGTAGTGTTTAAGGAGTAGGTGGTCTGAGTAAGAAAAATTAGGTATATGGATTTTTCATTTTGGTTGTATTCGATTTTAACTGTTTTAAGATATTGTTAAAGATTGTTTATAAACCAATATTTGTATCGATTGTTTCTCTTTTTTATTTTTATATTTCTATGTGATATGGTGACTATCACACCAATTACACAACCACCATTTGAAGTCAACTATAACCAACACCTCATTCATGCGCTACTGTCTGTCCCTTCCCTTTAAACATTTATTTTCTCCAACAAATTTATTTATTTATTGCTTTAACAGGTACAAACTATTATTTTTTTAGGAAATATATGGATATTAAAGTGGATATATGATAAAGTGATTTTTAAATAAAATCCATTTTTAAAAGGACCTAACAATTTAATTATTGAATTGAATTGAGTGTAATTTGTTGCATAGAAACTAGTTTAGCAATTCAGTTTGACCATTAAGGAAAGTTTATGACTGTAACACAGAAGCATCATATAATAATGAACATCTAAAATTGGAAACTAGAAGACAAAAATGGTACACCACTACACAACTATTCATGCAACATTCATCGGTTACTCCAAAAAGAAGATAAAGCAGCAGCAGTAGTAGCTAGTTAATTCTTAAACTACGCCAAAATAATTTTCTCCTTTTACTTGTATATTTTGAGTTGAAACAAAATATCTGAATCTAGATACCACCATACTATGATAAACAAAAAAAAAAAAAAAAAAAAACAGATCAAAACATGAAGAAGAATACAAAAATTCTGTGTATTCTCAAGGACGAAATCTCAACAAGCAATTAGAAGGTGGAGCTCGTTCTAGAAACAAAACATATACGAATATAAATTAATCATCATCTTCGTCTTATAGAATCAAATTAAGCTTAAACAGACACATGCATATAAACCTGCTACTATCTAGTTCTGGCAGAAGATGGTGATCCAGCGCTCCCAGATCCATACACGTGTCCCTGATGCCCCATCATCACCATCATAGGGTTTGGCCCCACACCTCCATGACCATGGCCATGGCCATAAGCCTCATCCCTCTGATCAGCACCACCCTGTGGCCTTCCCATCATGGCAGTTTTCTCCCCCTCCATCTCCCTATACTTGTGCAGGTAAATCTTGAGAGGCTCCACATACTCCTCAAACCCCAGCGTGGTCATGGCCCACAGCAGATCATCACCGTTGATAGTTTTTCTCTTTTCCTTCTGGCACTTATCAGATGCTTCACCTGTTATGAAGCTGATGAACTCAGACACACACTCTTGCACGGTTTCCTTGGCCTCCTTGGATATCTTGGCGTTCGTCGGCAACGCCTTCTTCATGATCCTGCTAACGTTTGCTATGGGAAGGAACCTGTCTTGCTCTCTACACCCTGAGAATTCATTGCCTCCACTTGTGTTACCTGCTTGACCTCCTGAATCGTTGTCTGACTCAGCCATCCCCTCACTCACACTATATTGCAGAGAGACTCAGAGAGAAATGCCACCAAACACAAACTTATTATATACACATAACTGTTTTGTATGCTCTCTCTCTCTCTCTCTCTCTCTCTCTCTCTCATATATATATATATATATATATATATATATATATATATACATATATCCTCTCACAATATATATGTATATAAATATACAAAGTATTAATATCACTAACTGCAACTAGTTAATTAACTGTTACAAAATTATTTTAATAATTAACCAACAGTCTTAAGTTTAAGAACATTGATTGAATTTTTTGTTATAAGATAGTATGATGTAAATAAAGATATATGTACTTTATGAAAAAATACATATAAAGTAATGGATGATACTATTTGACTGGGTAGATAGGAAGGGTGTGAGAAAGTATTTACTGTATAGTGATTAAGATTGGATTGATCTAGAGAAGAAGTGATGAAGAAGGTTAAGTGTGAATGATTGGGATTGAAGAGGTAGTAAGAGTTTTGGGAGAAAGAGGAATGAATTAAATAAGGAAGGTTGGAAAATGGCGGGTTGGAATGGGAGAAGTAGGTGAGTTGATGTATGCGTGGGTTGGAGTGAAAATATGGATTAATTAAGAAGGGTTTAATTAAGGTATTTGAAGTTGATAATTATGTTTGATAATGATGAAGTCTTTTTGGCTAAGAGACGTGGATAAATTGTGACAGTTTGTTTAGAAGATAGGTTAAACAATTGACGCGTATGGTCGATGTTTCAGTGTTGGATTAGAAACAAACGTTGACGTGGATGTTAAATTATGACAAAAGAGGACAAGACATTGTAAGATGTCTTTGTAACAAAATCTTAATTTATAATAATTAAAATGATATTTATGTGTTTTATAATTTAAGAAATAAAATATATATTTTTAACATAAAAATAAAAAACATAATATAATAATTAATTAGTGTTTATTAACTAAGACAATTAATTAATTTTATTAAATATTTATAATTTAACTATTTAATAATTCATTAGATTAAATAGTGTGCATAATTGCTTAAATGATTCGTTTATCTTGATTTTGTAAATGCTGCATTATTGTACAGAGTTTTTAGTTTAGTTTAATTTTATAGATTTTATAATTAAAATATATATTAATATTTAATATATTTTTTTATTAATATTCTTTTTTTCCTAATAAAACAATTAATACTATTTTTTTTCAAACGAATTGGATTGAATGAGTAATGTTTCAATCTTTAATGAAAAAGTATGTTTTTTTTCTCTTGTTTCTCATTTTCAATTTAACTTTTCTACTTTTTATGTAGAAACATGACTTCTTACATTAATTAAAACAGGTATTTATGAGGTGGTAAGTTAAGGCAATTATATTTACACCTCCCTTATTTTCAAAATATATAGAATATAGTTGTTTTAGCTTAACAATAAATATATATTAATTTACATTTATAATATAAAATTTAATATTTTAGTAAATGTAAATAAGGGTATAACTCAATAAAAGTATTAACAATCTTATTTTAAATTTTGAAAACAATTATTAATGATTACATTATTAAAATAATTATAATTTTGAAACAAATAAAATAATATTTACTCAATCCTTTAATTTATTCGATTTTGTGTATTGGAAGTGTCACTCTTTTTATGTTTACCATATGATGAAGTAATATCTGTAAGAAATGTAATATGGAATAGAAGGTGTTGGTGAGTGATGTGAATCAACTCAAAATTATTTAAAATGATCATGAAGCACATTATATTTATATATTTCAACTGTCGAATAAATAAAATTATATTTAAATCTATGATGTTGAAGTGCATATACATCCATCTTATAGTCAGATAAAATTTAATATCATATTATGAATAAAGTAGCGCAAAGTTGAAATTATTAGATAAAAAAAACACATAACTAGTTTATATATCTAATAGTGCACAATCCAGGAACAAAATGAGATGAGATATTGAGACGAGAAAATGTGTTGAAATGTTGAAAAGAGATATTGAGATAACGAGTTTGTGACCTAAGTGACAAATCCATTGACACTGTTCATTTGATTTGGCACTAATTTTAAAGGTCTTCAAAACATTATTTTTCAATTTTTTTTTTCTACTCCACCACATTGAGCCACGTGACACTTTATCGTCAACTCTGGGTCCCACCAAATAAATCATCACCCTAATTAACTACTATTTGAGTTTAATAGTTGATTATAATTGGTGTTTCATGATGGGAAGGATTGGTGTGTGAGTGTACCAATTTTGTTCGTTTCTATCCTCAACAACTTAACTTTACTCGTCAAATTAAAACACAAAGAATATTATTTGACAAAATTAAGGTTGTGTTTGGTGTCCTCACGGGATAAAAAAATCTGTTCGTTGCCCACGCGAACCTTCAATTCAAATTACATTCTTTATAGATTTATATATTTTTAACTCTAAATTGTATCAAGTTATTAATATGAAAATTAAGATATTCATATTATATAATTTTAATTATACTTCCTTTTAGCATTGAAAAGCTAATTTTTAAAAAAAATTTAAATGAATAAAGGACATTCGAAGTAAAAGTTCATGATTTAATAATATAATAATAAAAAATGATGTTTTCTAAAGAATTTATTACAAACTTATTTTAATTGATTACATAGACTATTTTTCTATTAGTGAAAAAGATGATGAGTGACATAAATTGAAATGTAGGTCAGTTTTTAACAAATTAATAGGTTACTTGAAGCAATAATAAATTATAATACTTACTAAACATTAATATTTAAAAATAAAAACTGTACTTGGATTTAAGATGTGCAGTTATTAAACAAACACTTCATTTATAGGGTTATATTAACAAAGTTTCAAGAAGATCAAAGGTTTGTGGAATTTATTTCTCTCTTTGTCAAAAAGTTCAATAAGATGTGGTTTTCTAGTTGTTTGTTAATCACAATTCAGATTATATATAATTTTATTCCAGTAAATCAAATATTTTGTTAGATTTTTTATTTTTCAAATTGTAAAACATTCTTCAATATTTTTAAGTTTTTCTTAAAAATACAATGGAGGTCAAACCAGGATAATCCATTGTCTCATCTCATTTTATTCCTTAATTTTCTTTATTTCCTTTTTTTTTCATATGCATATATTTCTATCATTGTCATCATATTGATTCATATATTAAACATTATATTTGCATTAAGTATACTTTTCACAAAGATTAAAAAGTTAATTGGTATTCCAAAGTTCTTTGATTAACATTTTGAGAGATTGGTTAATTACTCTCCAAAAGGGATGACTTATTTTAAAGAATTAATTGTATAAGCTATCATATAACATAGGAGCTAATAATAAGTTTAATAAAATCATATAAAACAAGAGACATTTAGCATTGTTGATCTTATTAGTGAATAACATGATAAGTATTTTTCTTTTCATGAATATACAATATAGTATGCAAACTCAAAAATTAGATTTTAACTTTAATTCATTTCTACTTAAATGTCATATAAAATAAATATTTATTCATATACTATAATTTGATGATATTAAATTAATATAAGATATTCAATAATGTCTTTGATCATATTAAATCAATATTAATTATTTTTCATGTATTTTTCTACTCTCCCAAAGAGAAATGATATTATTATATTATTTTTTAGGGTTGTTGATTAAGAACAAGGATTCTCGACATATCAACCTCACCCCACAATGACAGTAGTGAGCATGAAATCATCATGACATAGTAAGCGTTGCAGAGCTTATGTTGTTCCGGTTTCATAGGATTTTGACGTTACAAAATAAAAGATTGATAATAATCCTTCAACGTGCAAGTCAAACAGAAAATAATTATCCCATAAATCAAGAACAAATGAATTAAAGTTGGTGGCTGGTTTCAAGTATGTATAAAAAAACTATTTTAAATTAAAACAAAGAAACTTTCAATTTTATATGACAAATATTAAAATATTTTCCAACAATTTCATCATCAAGTAGCAAGCAAGTTTCTAATCATGTGCTTGCCTGTTTTGTTGAGTAAATCGGTTTATGAAGTAGAATGCGTATTCAGTATCTGTGAGCGCTGCGCAAATTAAGACAAAGACTAATGTTCCAAAGCGGAAGATTTACAGCCCTTGGTACTCCATTGTTTAATTGGGTGGAAAAGAAAAATGGTTGCTTGGAGAAGAAAAACATTATTTCAAAGTTACTAATTGACATTGCTGATTGTGCAATGAGAAGAAAAGGCACGCAATATGCTTTGGGAATTTCCAAGTTGATGAAATTTCTTGCCTGCAAATTGGGTTAATTCTAATACTCATACAGTAGAGTTTCAGTTGCTGTCAATTGCTACAAGCATGCCACCGAGAGGAGGAAGGCAAATCAATGGTAGCACAAGTAGTTATGGATGAATATGGAGATTTCATTGTTGACATCCCTTCTCACCTTCATGCAATTTGCAACATGGAAAAGATATGCAGAATGAAACAGCATTGGGATGTATAAGTCTTAAAACTTCACCCTCCGAAAAAATTCAGAAAAATGATCAGTTTGAAAAAGATGTAGGTGAAATTCGAGAGTTACCCGAGATACTGTGTAAATATAACTAGAGCCTGCATGTAGAAATCCAAGATAAAGAATAATGTCCCGAAAGCTAATATACATAAGAATGTGGGATGGTCAATTACTTCACATTCTTCAAACCAGTGCATTTCAACATTCAAAGTTCACCATGGAAATCACAAGATTCTGATGTATTCTACTAATAACTACCTAAAAGTCAATAAAGAAAACTGTAGATAATATGGATAATTGTAACTAAACTGACTTGAAAGAGATTCATGTGGATCAGCCAGAACACTGGAATGTATATCCCAAAAACAATAGTAAGAAATCAGGGCTTTTCCACGTTTTTCTGATCAACCTCTGCTATATATTTTGCGACATCAGCACAGCAAGCAAGCTTATCTGCCTTCTCATCAGGAATTTCAATAGAAAATTCTTCTTCAAGGGCCATAATGAGTTCCACTCGGTCCAAACTGTCCATGTTCAAGTCTTTTTGAAAATCAGCTGTTTCAGTAACCTACAAAATGGTCAAGTAGAATTGTAGAATTAATAACAAGCTTCCAAAATGTTATCCCTCGGCATAAAAGATGATTCAGCAATTTTGATGTTTTCACAAATGAATCGTAAAAACAGAAATGGATTGTCCAGCACTAAATATAGCTATATAAAATGGTAAATCTATATCGACCATCAATTTTATACCTTTGAGGCATTAATTTTATCATACTTCTTGGCCAGTGCAATCACTCGGTCCAGTGTTTGATCAAAACTGGCAGCTGTTGCAGAGCACCAACATCTCAATTGCATATTCACACCCTCATCCCTGGCCAAAAACCATCGTTCGGATGACCTCCTCAAATTCACTCGAGTCAAGATAGATTTCCTTATGCTTTGCATATTCAAACAGCAAATGATCCAACCAATGGAAGCACTACTTCAAATTTATCCAAGATAGTTAGTTTCAGAACATAGTAAGAGGTGTCATTAAAGTGTGAAACTCTGGAAGTGAGGATAATAGAGGACTTTTTCTCCTTCCTCTCATTCAAAACACTGGGCTAATACTTCCCCACAATTAATATAAGCAAAAAGCACATGCTTTTAGATGTTTTTTGTGTTGTTTTCCAATCAAGCAAACTACCAAAGTTAAACTTCAACTCTAATTAAAGAACAACACAAATAGAATGTAAGAAATTGCATATAACAATATTAGCACTGCATAAAACCAAATCATATTATGGCCCATCAAAATCAGTCAAAACGCAAATATACTGTAGAACTAATTTCACAAAAACACAATTTACTGTTTGAGGACAAAAATTAAAGAAACCTAAGCCATAGTCTATGAGCAACAAGGTTCCTAGAAGCTATACTATGACTTGACATGATTTAAGACTTGAAAGGTCTCAACTCTCAGATGCCAACACCACTAGCCAGGTCTCTTGTCAAACAAAATATCACCCTCTTGTAAGAATTGTAAGGACCAATACAAGAATTACACAAGGAAAGGTGTTTGTCTTGTCCCTATTTCACTGGCACCAGGAACTGTATGTATTACATTCCATCAGGGTCATGGAAGATGGGAAATTCCCAAGAAACGCCAAGGGTCATCACAGACAGCATGTCACAGTTCATAAACACGTTTCTATTCAACTGTCTTGAAAGGGAAATATGATATTAATTTTCCATATAATTAATATAACAAACTAAGAGTGGCTAAACCTACTCATAGCATAGCATTCATGAAATAGCAACAAAGTGAAAAGCAAGTAGGAGTGGAATCGAGGTTGGAAGTCAGAAAATGTAAAGAGAGAGAGGAAGAGACAGAAGTGGGCACTCACGAGATTCGGCGCAGTGGCTGTGATTTCCTCAGATATACTGACAAATGAAGTGGTCGGGTAGGTGTTTGATATAATGGCTGAAAGAAAGAGTCAAAACTCAAATACTTGAAGCACGGTTTTACGTCTATTCCTCACTTCGCATGCTCCTACTAGCCTCCCATGTTCTATCACTTTCGATCCTTCTATTCGGAGTTGAGACCATTACTTACATAGCAGCGGCCTTTTTTTCTTTTTCTTTTTAACAAAATTAATATTTAGCATTCATCAATGTATTTCCCATTACACAAAATATTCCAATTGACACACGTACTCGATTTAATAAAAAATAAATAAAACCAAACTTTCTAAGAAAACGAAACAAATGCTTATATTCATTTAAATTATAAGTTTAGGGTTTAAATAGATAAAAGTGTCGGTTTAACTATAATTAACCAAAAATATATTTAGGTGTAAATTCAATTTTAAAATCGAATAGGTCACTAGTGAAAATATGGGTTTTAAATTTAAAAATGTAATTTGGGTTTACTAAAATTTAATAAAATAATATTTTTATAATATAATAAATATATAATAAATTTAGTAGTAATAATTTTTTATAAAAAATAAATTAATAAAAAATATTATAGTTATTATAAATACAAAATATATTAAAAAATATGAAATAAATAATTGTTGAAATAAAATAAAAATAAAAATAATTATATTTAAAATTAATATAATTGATATAAGATAAAAAAATTATATGTTAAAAATGATTTTGTTTTACGTTTGATTAAAAATTCAACCAATTTTATTATTTTATCCATTTATACTATTTTTTAATTTTATTCTAATTTAATTAAAATCTAATTCTTTAAAAATAATGAATTCGTTTTTACACCAATTTAATTTTTAAAACATCGAGTAAAACCAATTACGTAAGGGCTGTCATTTCTTTCTAAAATTTAGAAACTATTGAAAGTTAGAGTTAAATTTTCATATGATAAATTTACAGATTTTACCAAAATATTGTGTCAAACATTAATTTATTGTCAACTTTTACTACATAAAATTCAATATAAAAGATACTAAACCTTCGGAATTTTTTTTCTTTAATAATATGTTTAGATGAAAAAAAAATTAAAAGATAATTTTTTGACATATAATTTAAAATGTTATTGTGATCAAATATATTTTTTGAATTTAAAATGAATTAAAATTTATAATAGTTTTATTATTTAAACTTATATAATTTTAAAATTTATCTATTAATTACAAATTAAAAAGTATTTATTTTTTTTATTTTTTTGTCTCTTGTGCTTATATATATATATATATATATATATAAACTTTTTGTTCGGTCTAGCATAGAGTTATTGGCTCAACCGAGTCATAATTAATTTATCTTTTAATTAAGATGTTAATTACTCAATCTCAATTATATACTATTTTCTTGATTCAAATCGAATTAACTAAGATGTGATTAATTTGTTTATATTTTATGTAATATTGTTGGTTAAACATAATTTTTTTTAATAATGTTGATAGAATTTTTTTCTTTATGAGTAAGTCAATCGTGATTATTTTTATATTATTATGTTTTTTTTTAATTTATATAAGTTAATTATTTTTTTATTAATATTATTGATTTTTTAAAATAAAAAACATTAATATTATTTCCTAATTACAGTTAATTATAGGTTTTTTAGTTAGAATCAGTGATATTTTTCTTATATCAATATTATTTCTCATTACCGTTAATTATAGGTTTTTTAGTTAGTATTAGTGATGTTTTTGTTGATGTCAAAAACAACTTTTTTTTGTGTGTGTGTAGGACGTCATTTTCAATTTATTATCAGTTTGGTCAGAGATGTTCTATTATTTATAAGAGAAAAAAATGAAAGAAAATAATTTATAGAAATTAAAACTAAAATCCATGTATTTTATATAGTAGAAATACATAGTATACTTTTATTATATTTTGTATTTTAATTTATTAAAATTTAATATATATATATATATATATTAACTTAAAAATATAAATATTTGTTTATGAAATTATAAATTATTAAAAATAAATACACATAAGACAAAATTTTAAGGAAAAAAAAACAAGAAGGTGTAATCAAGATAATAAAAAAATTATTTTTATTTATCATTTTATATTAAATTTTTTTAAAAACATATAATTAAAAATATATATAACATAGATTACATTTTTTTCTCAATCTTATGACATTACAAAATGTTTATATATTGTTATAGATTAAAATGATTTCAAATTTTATAATTATATCAAATAAAAGAAAAAATATTTTCAAGACTTCTACTTAAAAGTTCACCTCCCTTTTCTCCATTTCTCTTGTCTCCATTATTCTCTGATTTTTCATCCTCTCTATTTTTTTTTTTTTTTTTTGTTGCAAAACGGAGTAAAAACAAAAAATAATGTCAAATTTTCAAGGAACCCAAAATTCCCCTTAAACCCTTTAATTAAGGTCGTGTGCCCCACCACCACCACCCACGATCATAAGTAGTAACCCACCCAACCCAACTGAAAGGGGCCAATCGTTAAGAAACGATCCATATCGATACTGCTCTCACTTTCCTGCAGGTCTGGGCTTTTTGAGCCCGAAACCCACCAGTGCGGAGGAGTCTTCAGGTCCTGCCAGGCCATCGGAATAAACACGCCAAACACAACACCGCACTCCTTATGATGACGTGACCACCGTCACCAAAACCCAACACAACACTCCTTACCCCCCACACTCACCCCCCCTAACTCTTTTCTCTTTCTTCTCTTTCCACCCATCACATTTCCTTTTTACCATCGTACAATTATTGTTTTACCCCACTTCCTTCCCTTTCTCTTTTTCCTTTTTCCTTTTTTTTTTTTTTCTCCTTACCTCCTCCCTCTCTCTCTCTCTCTCTCTCTCTCTCTCCCCCCCCTGCACAACGACCATGGGCAATGTCAATGGGAGAGACGATGTCAACGGTACTCCCTCCGAGACCGAAGGAGAAGAAGAAGAAGACGACGAAGGTTGTGCTGGTGCTGCTGACGGTGTCGCCGATTGCATGTCCGCCAACCCTGGCTATCATGCGCCTTCCGATATGATGGGTCATTCTCCCCCTGCTAGCCCTAGAGCCACCCAATCTCCCTTCATGTTCACCCCACAAGTAACTTTTCTCCTTTTCCCTCTCTTTACAATCCATTGCTATGGGTCTTTTTTTTTTTTTTTTTTATCTTTTATTTCGTCCAGATTGTTAAAAAATGTTTTTTTTTTCGTTGTTCCGCCCTTCGCCTCCCTTCTCTTGGCTTATTCAGTAGCGAAAGTCAAACGTTTTTATTGAATGTTGGTAAGTGTTTCTTCTGGGTTGGGCGTGTCTTAAAAGCCATGATGTCAGAGTGCACTCGTTTTGGAGGGTGAATCATACAACTTTTGTGTTTAACTTTTTGAGATTGTAAAAGAACTCCTGGTGTAGAATAGTTATTTGATGCAAGTTCAGGTGGTGGTTTACTAAGTTTCGAAGCTCTTTTATCTCTTTCCCCTTTTATTTTTTCATTTACTATTTTGGACTTCCATTCTTTCGCCTGTGTTTTTGATAATTGGATCCATCAGCACTTGTGGGATCCTAATTGAGTGTTGCTGTGACTGGAAAACAATTTGGTTAATGTATTAGGATTGTTTTAAAGGTCTATATTCGCATCTTCTGAATCTTTTGTCCAGTTCAGGAATCAAGTACCCTACCCCTTGCACTCCTACGTTGATTGTGGACACTAGAGGCTACATCATGTTTTCTCGTCAATCATTTAAGATTTGCTATTTCGTCTCTATGAAGCTTGGTGCTGAATTTTCGTTGCTTTGAATATACCTTCTTCGCTGTTGCCTGTGTTTAGGTATTGCTCTGGGGTTCTTTGCTTTTTTGGCGGTTGTTAACTGCTCCCTTTTCTCTGTTTTTAGGTTCCGGTGGTTCCACTCCATAGACCTGATGAGATGCATACTCCAAGCCCTTCTTGGATGCAGACTACCTCAGGGTATGAGGATATGTACAGTGAACTAGGAATTCCAACGATGATTACTTGGAGTTATGATGGGAAAGAAGTGGCTGTGGAGGGATCATGGGATAATTGGACAACAAGGTTTGGAATGTTTAGGATGTGCTTGGTAATGATTTGTGTTCTTTTGTTGTCATTTTCAAATGATATGTTTTCTCTTATAATTACATAATCGTCACCTTGTTTTGTTTTCATTGTTTCATTTGCACTTTCTTGAAAGTTGGAACCAAAGAAAAACCAGGTGGCGAAAATTTTGAATTGTTAGTGAAGACATATTAAATGAAGATGAAAACATAAAACATGTCAATTGCCTAGATTCTAATATTCTTGGTTAATCAGAATGTCCTTGCAGAGATCAGGGAAGGACTTCACAATTATGAAAGTGTTGCCATCTGGTGTATACCAATTTAGATTTATTGTCGATGGACAGTGGAGGCATGCACCTGACTTGCCATGGGCTCAAGATGATGCGGGGAATGCTTACAACATTTTGGACTTGCAGGTACTGTTTTGTTGATTGGTTTGGCTTGTAATCAAAATTGATATGTGATGATGATTTTGTGCAAACTTATCTAATTGTTAAGGACCTTGTTTTGTGCAATCTGGGATATATCTCCCTTCTCTCTTCTTTCATTATCAAATTCCCTATTTTTTACTGTAAAATTCGTTTTAACTATCTCTTGCATTCAGTTTTCTCCTTGGAACGTCTTTCCCTTTCTCATTTGTTTCATGTTCTTAGGTTAAATTCTCTTCGCTTCTTGCAAGAATTTTGTTTTCAATTTATATAATCCTGAACTCATTTCTCTGTCACTTAGTGACCAAATAACTCTGCAGTTTATTTCATTAGGGATTTTTATAGATGTTTTACATTTCAGTTTATCCTTTTTCTTTAGGGTTCATTTTATTGTCTTGTAACTTTATATATGCAAATTTTTCTCATGCCACTCGAGTAAAACTTGTATGGTGATCGGTATAACTTGCAATTCCTAACCAGGGGATGGGAGGATAATGATAAAACTCGTTTCTTTCATATCTTTTAGTACTAAAAATAATGTCTGCATTATGTTTTACTGCTAGAAGGCGCAGATATCTATATTGGGAGACTAACAATTTTGTATATTACATACAGGATTATGTTCCTGAAGACATTGGAAGCATTTCTAGTTTTGAACCTCCCAAGTCACCAGACTCTAGTTATAACAACTTACAACTTAGTTCCGAAGATTATGCAAAGGAGCCACCGTCGGTTCCCCCATATTTGCAAATGACGCTTCTTAATGTTCCATCAACGAATATGGAAATCCAACCTCTTACAGCCAGACCTCAGCATGTAGTTCTCAATCATCTTTACATGCAGAAAGGAAAGGGTAGCCCTTCAGTGGTTGCCCTCGGTACAACTCATCGATTTTTAGCCAAATATGTGACTGTGGTGTTGTACAAGTCTTTGCAGAGGTAAACATAAATTACATGGACTGTGTAGCCTTTAAAATCCTTTTAGCTAATATAGCTTCGACCATTACGGTTATAAGTGAGAAATTCTAAGCTCCATAAGGATCATTACATGAAAGTTAACATATAATGCAATTGCTTGATGGCTATTCATCATGCAATTCAGTTTTCATTCTTACATCATTTGATGATGCTATTCTCTAGGAGCTTTGTTTTGGTACATTTCTTTTTCGTACATATTATCTAGGAATTTTGATTAATCCACACTAAAATAAGAGGAGACAGAAAATATATTTTCGTGATATTTGTTGGGTTAGTCTCGTTTTACTTCTTTCTCTCATTCACATATATGTATATATGGATGATATATTAGAGCCATTTTTATTTTTAAGGATAAAATTTCATATTTATAACAACTTACTGAAAGGCGTATGGCAAGGCATCCACCTAAAATATGTAGATCCCATTATAAAATTTAATCATTATTTTTCTGAAATCGTGATGTTATATGGGTTTTTAGAACAGGCTCTGGTTGTCCTTCAATTTGATGAATTATGTTAGACATGTTGCTACTGAAATTTTCAAGAAATTCAATGAAGTTCTGGTAACTTAAATGTGATTTGTTACTGGATGAATCATTTTAAAGTTATTAAACAAAATAATTACTAAATTATTTTATTCCAGAATCAATTTTTTTTTTAAATTAAACAAAATGATCCAATCGTGCAGGGGCAAGATTGTCATTTACATGGAGGAAATTAAAAGTCTTGTCTAGTATGCACTCTATTTGCCGAATGGTCCTAGCTCTTTCTTGAACTAGAACTAGAATAGGCGTCGCAGTTTTATGCTATAGCCACTGTTTGATCTTGAGTTGAATTCTATTCCCATTACAACGATGGGTTAATTTACACAATTATAACAACTACAAGTCTCTGACTCACCAAAAAACAAAAATAGAAAACCTTGTAAGTCTCTGTCATGGCGTTTCTGTTTTTTTACTTTACTTTTGCCAACTCAAAAAAGCAGTTAAGCCAACCTTTACAAGAATAAAGTGTCCCTGATTCGCCTTTTTAATTTTATATATCTGTTTAGATATCACCCTCTCTATCCTAAACGTCCCATTACTCCAGAGATTCGTAGATGGCATTGCATGCATCATATTCCTTTTGGAATTAGGTTCCGCGGCACTACTTTGCATCATTCTCTTTCTGCAAAACTCATCACACTGCAACTACCACATCCTTTTTGGTTTATATTCAAACCAATAACACCGTACTTCCTGTTTAAAGCATGTGTGATGATAACATTCTGAAAACATAAAAAGAATTTTCTAATTACTTTATCCATAGGAGTATTTAGAATTCTTCAAAATCACGAACGTTTCTACTCACAATACGTCATAATTATAAGTTATATTTTGTTCCATTACTAGTTAACTGGCTACATTTCTCTCGTAAGACATCTAACAATTGCTTGAAAAGGAAAGACCATATAATACCGTTCCTACCTTCTTTTTTTAATCTTTTTGTCGATAATTGGACCCTACCCAACTCAGCAGTTGTCCGTATAAAGGACAACCCTCAACCTCAGTTCCTTGAGCAGTAGGGCAAGTTTTCCACAACTTCAACCTACTCATCAATGATTATTTTCTATTTGAAACTAAGCTATGTCACTTCTGATAAAATCTTTTCTTTTAGTTAATCATATTGTTTTTGTTTACAAGACTCATTCTAAAATCACGCTTAAACAATCTGAAGTAAATTTTCCTTGAATCAATATAATGTCAGTCTACGAGTGATCTGGGTTTTGTTTCAACCACCGAATTTATTAGTGAATATCATCATTATAGGTACATATATAATTGAAAATGTAGGCCAAAATTCAGTACACACTGACATAATGGCCAACCTTTAGCAAGGGAATTGTAGAAAGCTCATAAACACGACAAATAATAAGGCATCCAACTCCATATATAGAAACGTTGAAATCATATACAAAGCATTAAAATATTCATCACTGCTATGCATCTTATTCCACGCTCCAACAACAGACAGCACAAGAAGTTGCTTCACTTGATCAGCTACTAAAACACCAAGTTAATTAGTACATAATAAGACTGATCTACATTACAGTGCAAGCATTTGGGTTCTCATCGCTGAAAATCTGAGAATCATAAGGGTAGTCCAAGTAGTCAAAGTAGTCAACGTAGGATCTTATTGGCAAGTATTCACTTCGCTTGATCTCAGTTTTGTTATCATCTTCTTCACCATCATCTCCCTTCCTTTCTTCACCTTCTTTTTTCTTTTCTTCTTTCTCCTCCTCTTTCTTCTCCTCTTCTTCCTTCTTTTCCTTTTCCTCCTCTTTCATAATAGAAGCTTGCTTTTTGGTCCTCCTGTACACATAATCAACAAGCTTTGCTGGATCAATCACACCTTTTACTATCACTTGATCATTTCCCAATCTTGTCTCCACTGACTCTACTCCTGCATTGATTAATACGTGTTAGCATGTCATAGATTGCTCGCAAATGATTGAATTATTTATTAGTGTTTAAAGTTTACATATTAATTAAATCAAAAGCACGAGTTAAACGCCACACTGTGTTTTTAATTTAGAGTTTATAACACCAGTTAAAGTTATACCTTCATCAAAAAAGTTGAAACCATGAATTTATGATATTAAAAATATTTCAACATCATGTAACACCCCTCCTCCCCCACCTCCCAATAAATCAGCAGTGAAATGCAATATTTTAGGCACTTGAAGAATATTTATGGCATTTTCACACACAAAAATTGGTTTATAAATGGCATTTGCGGTGTGATTAATATATAATCCTCGAGATCCAATTGAGATCAACGTCACAACTCTTTCGGTCAAAAGTCTGCATGAAAACCTTGAAATCAAACACCTTTTGAAAGGAACGGGATTAGCGCCACGCTTTATGATTCTTACGCCATGATTAGAAAAAAAAAAAAAACAGTAAATTATATGCACCTTAACCTAGCTTTCAATGCAGAGATAATGACAGGTTTTTTAATACACTCTATTATTGTCTTGTTGAGAGAATTTCATTACAATTTACTGAAAAATCCAAAACACACTATTATCCTTTTAGTGAGATCCGCATAAAATTTATCCAACACTTAAAGAAGGAAACAATGTACAAAAAGAGTGTTAGGAATATATGACAGTTTTGCATTCGAAATTTATTCATATGTCGTTTGATTGAAATATTTGAAGAGAAGGATATAAAAAATAATCAAGTTTTTCTTATATTGTAAGTAAATATTGAATAAAAACGAATAGATTTCATATATTAAAACTACACAAAATAAAATAATAAAGAAGTAAATGTTTTTCATTATCAAATCAAAGCTAAATTTGAAAAGAATGAGTAAGTAAATTTAAAGAAAAGGAAGAAAAGGAATTCATTTAAGTATGTAGGTTCCAAGATATCGAGTGATCTAAAACGTGGTTGTAGTGAGTGCACGAGGGAAGGAGACACAGTTCGCACGAGCAATCAATAATTCATTACAGAAGATAGAGAGATATCATAAATATCATTTTTTTCTATATATATACATCATGAAATATCAAGAGAAAAAGAGGGAACATGAATCTGCATGTACCTTTAATCTTGCGGATTTCCTTTTGTATACCTTGGGCACATGCTTCACAGTGCATTCGAACTTTGAGGACTACTGTTACCATAGGAGGTGGCTGACAAACAGTTGAAACAGCCGTGAGACATGTTACATGGATTGAACCATACAATGTATGAGCAATGTCAGAAAAATATACATAAAAAAAAATGTAACGGCATACTTAATATATACTCAAACTCAACTACTTGTAAAATTAGGTTTACTAACTTATGTATTTATAATTTGATTATGTTTCTAATCAATCTAAATATTCAACACGTTAGTTGTGACAACTAACTAAGTTGCTGAAGTAAAAGAGGCCTCTAAGTGCTTCCACTAACTTCTCTTGTCAATTCAGAAATGGGCCATTGGTGGGGTTGTCACTGTGCACTAAAAGCCAAGGGAGCAAAGACTTACAATCTTCATCACAAAACACAGTTTGCAGAGGACCAGTCTCACAGAACTAGCTTAACCTGCTGAGCTCATCTAATAGAGAGTGACTGTGGTTGCAACTTTCAACTTCTCCCCACTTCACATGGTTTTGTTTGTACTTATGCGTGTGCCTTAAAAATTGTGAAATGGGTTGCATATAGTGTTATCAACTTCCCTATTTCACAGGGTGGGCACGGTAAAAAGTGAAAACAGGATATATAATGAGACCGTGACGGTGACCCCATTTTGCTGCAAGCTACATGCATGTCAAGTTGCAAAAGGGGTGGGGTCCAGCCCTCTTAATTGTCACCACCGTTTCCCTCGTTACACGTGCTTGTGGGAGAGTGGCATCATTTTGCTGACTTTGTTTCGTTACTTTCATGCTAGCATAGCATCCATCCTCCTTGGAAACAACAGGAACAAGAAACCGAAAGAGAACAAACTATGGAAATTCCAACCAAAGTATTTCACATTTTAACTTTGTTGTAAGATAAGCAAGTTGGTCATGTTCATCATGCACCATCCCCGTTCATCTTCATCTCCAAGGTTAAAAAAATAGGGTTTAAAGTTTTTCAGTAGTAATGGCCCAAAGGTAGTGTGTCTAATGAACTTTGTAAAATTAATTTTGCATTGTTATGGTTAAAATGATAGTTAAGTGACTGATGTTTGAGTGATTGATTCTAAAATATAATTTGGTTGTAAGACTTAGTGTAAAATATTCAATCAAAAGTAAACTACATAAAATTATGTTACTCAAATTCAACGAGAACTCAAACTCAATTCTTCATCATGAAATTAAACATGGTACATATTTCAGTTTGATTTTTGATTACACAACATGAAACCAAACCTGTACTTGGAAGATCTCTTAAGAGAATCAATTATTAGCTACAACAGTTAGTCATTCTTAATCTTTCTCACAGCAAATTAACAAAAGGAAAATTGCTATGTCTAGTCTGGAAAGGTAACCGATATATAAGCTAAGGGGGAATGATTTACCTCCTCTTTCTTCTCCTCTGGCTGCGGTTCTTTGACTTCTTCTTTTTTCTCATCTGGAGGTTTTGGCAAAGGTGAAATGAGCTCCACTTTCTTACCACTTTTCTTTTGTAGCCTCTCACACACCTTTATGGGGTCTGCTGCCTTTCCTTTCACTACCACTTTGCTTGCCTTGCTATCTGCAGTCACCTTCTCCACTCCTGTCTCAAAAAAAAACATTATAAGTTAAAATTTGTTATAATATTACTATATTGTTAATCTTTTCCACCTCCTACACCTTTATCTATGTTAAACAAAATGCCATGATGAACTTTTGTCATTATTTGAATGGACATGTGTAAAATTACCTGTAAAAGTTGAGAATAATATATACCTGACAAATTACTTCATCATGTATGCTGTTAAATTCGAAACCAATCATAGATAACAGATCCCTCTAACAAAGAAGAAAAAAAAGGGAAAAGAGAGAACAAAAGTACATACTGACACTAATCCTCAAAAACTAGTGATGTACAAAGTGAATTTTGATTCTCCTCAAATTGCATTCATGGATTTACATTAATTAGATTACGCGACTAGCTTGGAGCATAATCTGAAGAAGTTAATTAAAATGACCTTCAAATCCTTTCAATGCTTTTGCAACTTTCCTTGCACAAGCTTCACAGTGCATATCAACCTTGAGTACTATCTCCGGAGGCTCTTCATCCTTTTTCTCTTCTTCCTTCTTTTCCTCTGTGGTTTCTTCTTTGTTTTCTTCTTCCTTGTTCTCCTGTGACAGAAAATAGAACATTAATTACATACAGCAAAAATATGAGTGAAAAATGGATCTCCGTAGGACTAACATGTCATGCATTATACGATAATGATGCCACCATCATAGAGCAGACATTATGAAAGATCACAAAAGATAGAGAATATACATGATGCTAGTGTAGTTAGTTTTCAAAGCAAAAGTTGTCGAAAAAAGGAAAGAGACAGATTGATTAAGAATAAATATGGACAAGAATTTTTGTGTAAGAGAGAACTCTTACTTCACCCATTTGTGTGATAATGGACAATGATCTCTGCTTCAGAAATTTTGCAGTGGTGTAATATATTGGAGGTAGCAATTGATGCTTCTCTTGTTGGTTTCTCTCTCTTATTTCTCTTTCCTTGTTTGCAGCACTCTTACAGGTTCGGACAGAAGAAGGAAGCACATTAAATTAACGTGGGGATTCTGAAAATCTGAGGTGGACCGTTTAATGCTACGTAACACCATATGGCTGACTCAGCATCCACAAAGCTACGTACCCTCATTTCATGTTCATAAACTTTCCAATTTCATTCACCAAAAAATACGCATGCTAATTCCAACTAGTAGATGGACCAACATAGTCGGTGAAAACTCTTGCATAATTTTTTAAAACAGATGCTACTTTTGAATGTGTTACTATTTTTAACTTATTTCTGATATGATTTTCATTAAAAGAATTTTGTTATTAATTTTTTCATTTACAAAAGTTTGAATCCAAATCCATAACTAATCAAACTTCTTTTTTGACGAGTTTCAAACTTCATTTTCTGCCTTGACCTCTCTACGCCGTACTATATATAACTCCTAATATTAGGGCTATTTAATGAACGTTTACGTTAAAAGAAATGTTCAAGTTAAGCAGAATTTTTTTTTTTTTAAATATGTTAATATTTGTTATTTAATTGATTACTGTGCAGACTCTTAGAATATTTTTACACAAGACTTTTCATAATTATAATCACAATATATTCTTATGTTTGGTGTTGAATTTATAGGGGAACTATGGGTGACACAAATGATCTCCCTACCTATCTGCATAACGTGTCAATGTGTCATGCACAGCACAGATCCCTGTTACTGTTACTGTCATCGTCAATGTCCTCATTAAATAAAAATGTTACGTAAATATCCAACTACCTCTGTTCATTGAGGTCTCTTGATCATTCAAAACATTAACTGTTTTATTTTAACCCACTGTCTTATGCTTTGATGAATGCAGCAAGTGCATTGAATTTGAGTGTACCAATTCAAGATCTAGAAATCCCATTACTGAACACTATCAGAGGAAAGAGACAAAGAAAACAAGTCTGTAATATTAAAGGAAATTAATCCACGCGAATAATCAAAATATTTTATATTTTGTTTTTGCTGTAACATGTACATGATCAAAGTTAAAATGATAATTCACATATATGTCTCATGTTCAGGTGACAGTATCACACTGTTATGTGATTCGGCTAAAATCGAGGAAAAGGTTATATTACTGAGTAAAGTGATACATAAATTATAAATATTTTGCTTTTTGTTGGATTAGTTATGCTTAAGGACACCGAATAGTGATTATTATTAATCCAAATCTAGTTTAGATACATAATAAATTTATACAAATATTTAATAAATAAATTCTATAATTTATTGTTTATTATATTTTTCATACAATTAATCAATCTTATCTGTTAAACACCGCGAATTTAATATGATAAATGTTTTTTTTATCATTTATTAAACGTGGAAACTTATTTTTTACAGTTTCTATTTGTTTTCATTCTTTCAAGTTGTTTTGAACAACTTTTTCAGTCTTTGACAATTATGCAAAGACAATTTATGTTGCTTAGGTGGCTATCCCGATAAAGTGTGTGTCTATAAAGACGGGCTACAGCCAGTTAATAAATAATTTTTAGATTTTGAAAAAGAAAATAATATAAATTGAATATGGAATCCATGGAAATCCCTTTTGCTTTCAATCACTATAAAATGGGTGGATGAGAACAGTCTCTCAAAATTGTTTGTAATTGAAAAATAAGTTTGATTAGATAAAAAAAATTACGAAAATAAGTATCAGAATAATTTATAATAATAATTTATTTTAATATTTTAATATTAAAATTAATTATTATTTTTAAATAAATAAATTATTAAAATAAGAACAATAATAAAAAATAAATTTTATTTTTTATTTTGAAATTAAATAGATATATTATCTTAATTTATATATCAAATTATTATATATTTAATAAAAAATAATTTATTCACTACAAGAAATATTAAAATTACCGACGGTCAAAATCAGTCGGTAATAACAAAAATCCGTCGGTAAATGAATATTACCGATGGAATTCAACGACCAAAAATCCGTCGGAAATTTGCTTGTCAGTAAATATTACAGACTGATTTATCCGTCGGTAAATATGTTATGAAATTACCGACGGATTTATCCGTCGGTAAATATGTTGCGAAATTATCAGACGGATCCGGATCCGTCAGTAATAATTTTATTAATTATTAAATATTTTAATTATTTATAACATTATTTTTTTTATAGAACCCCTCCCCTTCTATTCTTATTATTTATTATTAATTATTTCAATTATTTCTCCATATTATATTTTTATAACTTTGAATTATATTTACAAATATTATATGATACTCCAACCACTAAGCTACTAGAATTTCTTGATAACAATTTACAAATAAATTATATTTATATACAAATATACAAATACATTTATATATATTTATATATATTTATATATATTTATATATATTTATATACATTTATATATTTTTTTTTATATATTTTTATATATTTATATATATTTATATATATTTATATATATTTATATATATTTATATACATTTATATATATATATATATATATATTTATATACATTTATATATATATATATATATATTTATATATATTTATATATATTTATATATATTTATATACATTTATATATATTTATATACATTTATATATATTTATATACATTTATATATATTTATATATATTTATATATATATATATATATATATATATTTTTTTATATATTTATATATATTTATATATATTTATATATATTTTTATATATTTATATATATTTATATATATTTTTATATTTATATATATATTTATATATTTATATATTTATATATTTTTATATTTTATATTTATATATATTTATATATTTTTATATTTTATATTTATATATTTTTATATATTTTTATATTTTTATATATTTATATATATATATATATATATTTATATATTTATATATTTATATATATATATATATATATATATTTATATATATTTATATATAATTAAATATTTATTTTTATATTTACTTAATTTAATAAATTATTATAAATTAATCTAATTATGATTAAATTAAATTATTAAATAAAAAATATTTTATTTTTTAATTAGTGAATAATTAAATTATATTATATAATTTTACCGACGGATTTATCCGATCGGTAAATAATTTTTAATTTACATATGAATTTACCGACGGATATATCCGTCGATAATTACTTGTTAATTTATCGACGGATTTACAGACGGATATATCCGTCGGTAAATTCATCTATAAATTACAGACGAATTTATTGACGGATATATCCGTCAGTAACTAATTATTATTTTACCGACGGATATATCCGTCTGGTAACATCAAATTTCACAAATATTTTATATCCGTTCGGTAATTTCAGTCGGTAATGATTATTTTTCGACGGCTACAATTCAGTCGGTAAATATCCGATCTAATATCTGCGATTTTCTTGTAGTGATTATTATATTTAAATTTTTAAAAAATATTTTATTTTTATTTAAATATTTTTATTTAAATATTTTTTAATTAATTATGTAACATTGGATTATATTCAATTAAAATATAGACCAAATTAAATTTTTAATTTTTTTATTTGATAAAACTAAAATAAGTTGGGTGAAACGTTAACCACTTCACACCAGTTTTTGTAATTTAAGAAGAATATTGAAAAAGATAATGTAAAATATATTTTTTGGAAAGTAAACATATTTAACTGAGCTTTTTAACGATAACTAGTGGAAAAATACGATTCTATGACGACTTTTTATCACGGTTGTAATCCACCGTCATAGTATATAGGGCGGTGACATTTTTGTAATAATATTATGAACTTTTTATGTCGGTTATTATGTAACCGACATGGTATGTGAGCAAATTCACTTTTTATGTCGGTTAAATTTTAACCGACATAGAAAGTACTTTTTATGTCGGTTAAAATTTAACCGACATAGAAAGTGAACTTTTTATATCGGTTAAAATTTAACTGACATAGAAAGTGAATTTTTTATGTCGGTTAAATTTCAACCGACATAGAAAGTACTTTCTATGTCGGTTAAAATTTAACTCGACATAAAAAGTACTTTCTATGTCGGTTAAAATTTAACCGACATAGAAATTTTATATTAAATCAAAAAAATTAAATATATAAGTATATAAATATTTATATATCAAAATATATAAATATATTTGTATTTATATATTTTGTATATAAATATAATTTATGTGTAAGTTATATATCGAAATTTGTAGTAGTTTAGTGGTTGAAGTATCGGTCTCCAACTCTAAGGTATTGAGTTCGAATCTTGCTAGGTGACAAATCTCTTAAATAGATAATAAAATAATATATTATAAAGTATAATAAAAATATAATATAGATAAATAAATAAAAATCATACTAGTATAGTGGTTGGTCTAATTCTACACTCTAATGTACTTGGGTTCGAATCTTGCAAGTGACAAATCTCTTAAATAGATAATAAAATAATATATTATAAAGTATAATAAAAATATAATATAGATAAATAAATAAAAATCATACTAGTATAGTGGTTGGTCTAATTCTACACTCTAATGTCTTGGGTTCGAATCCTGTGACAATTTTTGTAAAAAAGCCCATTACTTTCTATGATATAAAAAGTCATACTTTCTATGTCGGTTCATAACAACCGACGTAAAAAGTCATACTTTCTATCCTCCTGTATCTATGTCGTCTCTTTAACCGACATAAAAAATCTTTTTTGCACTAATGTAAAATATTTATAAATTAATAGTAAGTAATGAGTAAAATATGGTAATAATGTCATTTGCCTTTTAAAAAAGTAATAAAATATTATAAAAACTGTACATCATCAATCAATTAGGGTTTGAAAGTATAATAAAAATTCAACTGACCCTTGAAATAAATAAAATGAAAAAATGTTCTTTAAAATTATAAATCATTTATCAAACTTTTTTATCTTAAATGCATATTTATATTTTGTTTGTAAATTATTATTTTTATATGATTAAAGGTGTACAGTCGAGATCAATATTTATTAATATTAACCAAATTGATTGATAATTTATAAATTTAAGGATCATTCTATCATTTTAATATCGATTTAATTTTTTATTATAATTTCAAATAATAAATTGATTAATTTCAGGGACTATTTTACTGCTTTATTAATTTTAAAGACTAATTTGATATGGTATTTGAGGAACTAAATTGATAAATTTTCAGTTTTTTTTCTTCTATTATATATTTGAAACCCCAACATATTAATTTTAAATTATAAATTATCAAATAAAATAATCATTTAACTTAGAATCTATATTCTTCTTTTTTTATTAACTAACTTTTGTGCTGTGATCCAATCAGTTAAACGGGCCGCTTTTGAGTGTTGGATCCTATGAGATGTTGTAGGCCTAATACGCGTCATGGGCCTAATAATCCGATAAAGCCCATTTTTTAAGTTTAGTAGACTAGGCTAGTCCGTTTCAATCAGCAATGTAACTGGGTTGGATTTGATTGATTTCTGTTCGGCCTTTATGAGATTTTTGTCAAAACCATTATCTATGGTTATTACAAATCTACAGATGAATTATATCTGTAAGTTTTAAAAATTTTTAAAATTATAATCAATTTTTTTTTTAATTACTATTTTTTTTCTTTTACTTTTTTAGCTTCAAAACAAATTTAGTAAATTCTAATTAGTTAACGATGTAAAAACTGTACACTGAGAAGGCAAATTCATTAAACTCTTAAAGAAAATATATTAAAAAAAATGAGAGAGATCCTCTGCCATAATTTATAATTAAATGATAACATAAAAAAATTATGTGAGTATATAATTTAGTTAGATTCAATAATTTTACTGGACTATAATTTATTAAGTAGTGTTTTAGTATAACAAATTTCCATATATGTAGCAAACAAGATTTTGGATGGCATCAGAATCATCCGAACCCACGCACATACCAATTAAACTTATCATTAACTTGTGGACAACCGATGAACATTCTATGACGGCAGGTATTTAATGTAATAATTTCAGAGGTTGTAACCAAAAACATCATTTTCGTGTGACCTTAGATGGAGATTTTTATTAACTACTTACAATCGCCTAAATCAAAACAAAAATATTGGGGACAAGCGCAACAAGATGTGGATGCGTGTTACAGAAAAAGAAGGGTCCAACATTATGATATGAGTCTCTTAACCTCCGGGTAAAAAATTAATGTTTCAAAGTTTAAATTTTACTAATATTAAGCATCAAGTGTGTTAATTATCACACATATTGCAATTTAAAAATTTTAATTTGATCATTGATTGAAGTTTCATCATGATGGTTGGAAGCACCAACCATCTTATTCGGTTAGAGAGTATGATCGGGTTTCACTGGCTGGAAGAAAAATGTGGACTCATTGGAGCCCACAATTATGGACCTCCCTGAACTCCTACTGCATCTACAAGTCTAGAACCAAATTAATTAGGCAGTGGTGGCTTTACTCAATTCGACCTTGCAAGCATTATTAAACATCCATAGTTTGGTTTGTGTTCATTACTGACCAATGAATGGAGCATGATCTCTTGTGTACTACAAATATTGTAGGATCCTGTTCATTATAGATGCGAGTGAGACACTTCCCTCGAGACACGTGTACGGTCGGCATGAGGTAGTGCATGATCATTATTGCACACAACAAAACTCATAAAACCTAAAATTCTAATAATACTTAAAATTAACCATGATGAAAATTTCGTAGTAGATAGAATGTGGCATTTAATTGATTGCTATTTATAGGGATTGAGGAAGATGCATTGAGTCAACAAGATTGGCGTGTCATTCAAAGACAGCACATGCGTGCTGAATTGCGAAGCCATCAATTTTATGTTACAATAAGTATTAACAGCATACACACCCTCTGCTTCTGCTCACCCTCTCTCAAGTGCTGATACTACCATAGCATGAAATTCAACTTTGTGGGATTACGTGTTGTTGTTTGATAGGTTAACTGGGTGTGCTAAATGCCTTCTTAAGTTTGCTTTTCTGTCACTTTCCTTTCTATTGTTGCTCTGATAGCTTTTGTCTGCCTTTCATCTGAGCCTCAGATCTGATCTTTTGATCCACAACCATGGCTGAAAAGGTACACAGCTTTCAATTGCCATCTCAATTACCACTCTTTTTTAACTCTAAAACAAACCCTTTTGGATTACTGTCCTCTACATCTTGTCCTTGTTTGCAAAATGAAAATGTGATTTCAATTTTCTACTTTTCTGCTTGGATTTGTACCATAATGATGAAGCCATTCTTCTATTCCATTCCACAATCATAAGTTTGGTTCACTTATGGATTCATAATGATGAACACATTAATTCAGGTGACCTTCATGAAACTCAAGGTTGACCTTGAGTGTGGGAAATGCTACAAAAAGGTTAAGAAAGTTCTCGGCAAGTATCCTCGTGAGTTCATCACCATTTGTTTTAATTTTCTCTCCTACTTGTATTTTCAATACGTTAGAATCATGATTAATTGTGACATGTTGCAATTTGCATGCATTCATTTTTGGATATACGAAACATGAAAGAGGATATCAAATTGAGTTAATTTGATGTTGAAATTTTGTGAACAAGAGAAATTCGGGACCAGAAGTTCGATGAGAAGGAAAACATGGTGATCATTACAGTGGTGTGTTGTAGCCCCGAGAAGATCAGGGACAAGCTTTGCTACAAAGGTGGAGGCTCTATCAAGAGCATTGAGATAGTGGACCCACCCAAGACTAAGCCCGCCGAGCCTGAGAAGAAGAAGGAGGCCGACAAACCCAAGCCCGAGGCCGAGAAAAAGAAAGACGCTCCCAAAAAGGAAGCCGAAAAGCCCAAGGCCGAACCCGAGAAGAAGAAAGACGGCGGGGAGAAGCCGAAGTCTGAGCCCGAGAAAAAGAAAGACGCGGACAAGCCCAAAGGAGATGCTCCGAAAAAGGACGCTGAGAAGCCCAAGGAAAAGCCCGCGGCCGAGGCGGAAAAGCCCAAAGACAAGCCCGCATCTGCTCCGCTACCCGCTCAGCCACAGATGGCACCACCGATGGCTGTTCCAGTTGGAATGCTGTATGCTCCGGCTCCATGTTACGAAGGCAGGCCTGTTGGGCCTTGCTACGAATACGGTAGGCCCATGAACTACTATGACGGGTACTATGCAAGGCCCGTTTATGACAGTTACGGTGGAGGCAGACCCTGTTACGCGAACAACCATTGTGATCAATATTTCAGCGACGAGAACCCTTCAGGGTGCACAGTTATGTGATTGAATTATTGGATCTGTAAATCATGGTGTCCTTTTACTTAGTTTCAATTTCATAATGTTGAACTATTTCTCTGTTTTTCTTATTTAAAATTCAAATGTATCCGAAAAAAAAAAAGGGGGAAGAAAAAAAAAGGTTATTTAATTAAATGTTATAAATGCTATACTAGACAAATGTTTTGTTCTATGTTTGATGAGTTAATAAAATAAAGTTTCGTCACCAACAAGGAATCTGACTCTGGAAGTGGATTTGCCTTTTCAAATTGATTTTGTTGAAAGTTGATAAGTTTCTAACCAATGTCACCCACCACTACTTTTAAGTAGGTAAGCTCATAATAAGGACGCCATTTACACGATTTTATTTTTCGAATATTATTTTTAATAATTGGATAGATAAAAACAAACACATAAACCTGATAAGTTGTTATAATTTATTAGCTATAGATGTTTTTTGGTATGAGAATTAGTAGGTTTTGTTGTTGTTGATGTTGGGAAGCTTTAGTAGTTAGTGATAAATGATGAATGATGAGCTGAGAAGAGAATGATGACAAATTGACAACCATGATCCTCTTTTTTCCCTTGCCCTTTTCCCACCTGATTAGATCCATGAACCTGAACAAGATTTGAATGAGTACAACCAGATACTAAAATGTGATGTATGAAAACTTTTTTTCACACACAAAATAATTTTTTCAAGGTATTATTAGAATAAAATAATCCATCCTTCATCAAGGGATGAAAATAGAAGAAAGATGTTAAAGAATGCAACGAAAACAAGTTTTCTTTATTTGCTTCTTGTAAAATAAAGAAGGAAAGAGAGTTTTTCTACCTCCATGCTACATTTTGTTTCTTTTAAACGAGGAAGAGTGTGTGAATTTGAATTAAAGATACAAAGTATTCTCACATTAATTTTTGCTAATCTTGTCTTGTTTTAAGTAGTAAAATAAATTTATTTATTATTCCTTTAATTGTATTATGTCTTGACTAGAGAAGATAAGTTTTCTTTTACCAAATTGAAAAGAAAAAGTAATGTAGAATTATGATGGACGTAACGTGGAGTTGAAAATATGGACGTAAGATAGAATATTCCACAGCTAAGTGGCTGCGGAAAACGGGGTCTCCCAATTAATCACACGATGCATGATGAGGTAATATAATCTTGAATAAATAATAAAAAAAGGAACACCCACCATGAAGAACCAAAACTCAATTATGGGGTCATCTTAATGCTTAAGCATCATCATTTCTTTCTAAATTCTTTCCAAGTTACGATGACACCAAAATTTGTCACCTTCTTCAACCTGCATCATCACATGCTGTGGATAGATATGATGAATAAAAAAGCTAGTATTTATTAAATACAAGTAAAGTAATGCTTATAGCTATTAACACCATGTGATCACGAATTATCACGAGTCTACAAAGCCAGAACCAAGAATCGTGTCGGCACCGTCACGTTTCTAACGTCACAAGCAATTGTCCTGTAAAATTTATAGTGTAAGTAGTAACAAGTACCATTTGTATTGACATTGGTAAAATATATAATTTTAAAAAGTATTTTAGTACATTTAAATCAATTTTATTAACAATAAACGTATATCTTAAACAAAAATATTTTATTTTAATTGATATGACAGTTTACAAGTTATATATGTACCATGAAATGATTTAGAGGTGTTTTTTATACGTGAGCTGTAATGACCCCACTATACTGATTATGAACTGAATTCACAAATTTAAATATATATATATATATATATATATATATATATATATTATAACATTTATTTTAATAGAATAATTTATAATTGTAGCAATTATCTTATATTTTATTTATTTAAAATTTTGCTTTAATCAAATATTATATTAGTCTAACTATCAATTAGAAATAGGTTTAATATTTTAATTATGTGAACATATTATATATCTATATTCTTTTCGTGAAAAAGAAACAAATTTTGAAAAGTAAAATAAGGTTCAGAAAAAGTAAATTTAAATTTTTTAAGTTAAATCTATAATTTTTTAATAAGTATAATGAGACTCGATTTTGAAGTTAAATGTAACGGAAAAAGATTGAGCATTGAATTTCTTGATTATGAACATAAAAAAAAAACGATTGTAAAGAAAATTCTATTTTTTTTAGCTTAAACTTTTCCTTGAATTTCATGATTCTCAATTAAGTTTTTTTTGTATAACTTTTTTTTTTTAATATTGAAAAATATTTTCATTATTTTGAAATACGGTAAAACATCTAATAAACTATGTATTTAGTGATAAGTCCTTGATCATCTTTTTGTAAATTGGTCATCTTTATATGATTGAACTTAGAGGAAGTTATTTTGTTATGTTATAAACATATTGAAACTTAAAACAAAGTATTTGATTAAGTATCATGAAAAAAAAAATTATACTAACTTATACATTTTTATATTATTTGCCTGGACTTTAACTTTATAGCTGTTATTTGTTTTTTATATTTACTATTTAATATCTTATAAAAATCCATTAATCTCTTTTACAAAAATCATTCATAAATTAATTTGTTTAGATAATAATACAATACATTCTATGCAAATCTTTTGAAAAAAAAAAAACTTTAACTTGATGCATTTACTTACACAATTTAGTATGCTTGACCAACAATAGTTTATTACGAAAAAAAAATCTCAACCAAAATATATATATATATATATATATATATATATATATATATATATATATATATATATATATATATATATATATATATATATATATATATATACACACGAGAGAGTGTAATTGTGTATTAATTTTGCTTAAATTATTAATAAGAATATGAAAATATTTTATTTTGTGGTTCTTAATGTTATATATTTGAATTTATTGGTTATTGTTATATGTACTCATAGGTTTTTAGATATTGAATCCAAAATTTGGTAACTCCGTAATTTATAATTTTATCTTTTTTAAATTTTATAAATATTTAATATATTTAATATATTTATTTATATTTATAATTTTATTCTTTTATTTTTTTCTTTTATCTTTTATATTTATTTATTATTTATTAATAATATATTATTTTATTTTCTAAAATTAATAGTTAATATCACTTGTTTATATGATTGACCACTTACTTAAAAGCTAAATTATTTTCACTGTTCGCGAGTGTAAATTACATGAGTTGACATAAAATAAAGTAGACATTGATCAATCAAATGAACTGGACATTGATTAATTTCTTAAAAGAGCTAAAATAAATGAAAGTTATATTGGTTATATTGATATACTCTGCTGCAGAATGCTCAAAGGTTTTAATACTCTTCGAGTGAGTGTCCACTCCTCAGAAAATTAAGAGAAAGAGAATGATAGAATTTGGGGAAAAAGGATCTTGAAAACTTTTATTCTGTTCTGTTTTGATTACATCATAGCTATTAAAAGGAATTAGGTGCTAACAATCAAGCAAAAATTAGGGAAATAAAACAGGAATTAAACTAATAATTTGCAGCAGAAATTTCAGGAATTAATTTGAGCATATCAGGATCTTCTAATTTTGTCCGCAGACATAATTTGAGCATATCAGGATCTTCTAATTTTGTCTGCAGATATAATCAGTCATACACGCTGGCTTCTTTCTTGCTCGTTTCCTTACTATTGGGTCATCCTTCCTTATTGGGTCTGGGTCAGTGGTTGGTTTGTATCATTTTCCCCTTCTGCAGAACTCACCTTGTCCTCAAGGTGAAAATCAGGATAACAAGTGCGGAAATTTTCCAAGTCTTCCCATGAAGCTTCATCAACTGGACAACCCTCCCAATGCACCAAGAGTTGTTCCTGTGGTTGCCCGTGAACTAACTGAGTTCGTCAATCTAAAATTGCCCTTGGTTGATCAATAGGTTGGTTATCAAAGCTTTCCAAGGGTAAGTCACATGCAGACATCTTATCAGTACCACGAAAAGGTTTAAGAGCTGACACATGAAAAATCGGGTGAATGCGACTACCAGGAGGAAGTTGGAGTTTGTATGCCGTTGTCCCAATGCGCTCGATGATGCTATAAGGACCATAGAACCTCTTCGAGAGCTTGTGGTGTTTCAATTGACGGACTGATGTTTGGCGATACGGTCTGAGGCGTACGAGAACCAAATCACCAACAGTGAGAGTAATGTCTCGACGATGTGCATTGGCCTTCTGACGCATTCTATGTTGAGCCACAGTTAAATTTGTCTTCAAAGTGCGAAGTAATTCGTCACGAGAAGTTAGGGTCTCATCCAATACTTGTATAGAAGTGGATCCCCTAGTATATGCCGGAATGGTAGGTGGTCTTCGACCATAAAGAGCCTCGAAAGGGGACATTTGCAAGGCACTATGGTAGCTGGTGTTATAATGAAATTCGGCCCACGGAAGGAATGCAACCCATGAAGACGGTTTATGTTGAGTGAAGGCACGAAGATATTGTTCCAACCCACGGTTAACTACCTCGGTTTGACCGTCAGTTTGAGGGTGATAGGCACTGCTCATAGCAAGCTTGGTGCCACTAAGTTCAAAAAGCTTGCGCCAAAAAGCGCTAATGAAGACCGGATTACGATCAGACACAATGGAACGAGGGTACCCACGGTGACGCACAACCAAAGACACAAACAACTCTGCTACTTTGGAAGCGGTAAATGACGTGGGAAGAATACCAAAGTGAGCTGTTTTCGATAATCGATCCACAACAGCAAGGATAACCGTGGATCCTTGAGAGGAAGGGAGACCCGTAATAAAATCCATTGTCACATTTTCCCAAACCGTCTCTGGAATCGGGAGAGGTTGAAGGAGTCCCGCTGGAACCTGCATTGAGTATTTAATTTGTTGGCAAGTAAGACATGAGCCGACATACTCTTCCACTGCTTTACGCATACCGGACCAATAAAAATTGGCAGCAACACGAACTAGGGTACGTTTCACACCAGCATGGCCACCACTTGGTGTATTGTGAAATTCGCTAATGATTGTATGACATAGAGGAGATGTTGGGTTGATCA